AATAAAGGGGAACAAAGCGTGTTTAAGTTTTTAAAGGTTCAGACAACCTTACCTACCCATTGGATTGTTTCCATTTCCATTTCCAAGGTTCGGGGAACCCAGGGAAGCACCGAATGGGCCCTAGTTTGAAAACACCCTTTCAAGTGAAACTTAAATTTGACCAGTTGGGTTTCCCCGGGAGTTCATAGACGGATTCTAGCGTAAACCTTTGAAATAACCCATTGTTATTTGTTGTTGTGTGTAGAAACAAGGATCTTGGTCTTTTATGAAACAAGAATTGACACGAAAAATATAATTAAATAAAAATACCAATAAAAGAGAAGCTTAGTAAAACAAAAATTGGTTAACCAGAAAATAAAAAAACATCAAGTATTTATAAACAGAATTTTAATAACTTATTATTAGTATTACAGAAACACTTGGCTTTAAATATAAAATGGTTGGAAATGAAATGGTATACATTTTGAGCTTCTAGAAAAATGATAATGACCCGAATTGTACTAACAATGAAACTGTCTAAAATTGAAGTAAAAGTTAGAACAGTGTCTTTCTGTAGTTACCAGTATCTTCATTCAAAATTGCGTTTGGTCTTTACTTAGAATCAATGGATAAAATCAATAAAAAAAATCAAACATATTCAAGAAGCTGTCGATATCCTCAGAAACTTAAAGGCGTTGAATAGTGGTAATTAATCCATGTTTGATATAATTGCCTGCTACACTTTTGTTCTTGCGTTATAACAATTTATTCTCGTTTACCCTTGGTTAGAATATCAGACCTTGCATATTCTTAGTAGACCTCAGGAAGGTAAGCGTGATCTTATTTATTTTTTTGATCTTTTTATTTTTATTCAGTTCAATAACTTCAAACAAACAAACTCTTAACCCATTCTTGTGCGTTGTGTTAACCTATTGGCAGCAATAGCAGTAGCAATAAGGTAGACTTGTAAAAGAATATTTCTTTTAGTCTCCCGTATAGAATATTTTAACGATTCATAAAATTATTGCAGAAGGAAGGATGCTTTTTTGATATCATCATTGTAATGGCTGTATCCATATAAGCGAATTAAGAAACTTAACAATAGTGTATCTTAATTTTTTAGAGGGAATTATCCATGGACCTGAGAGAAAATAGAAATTAGTGGAAGCCAGCGACTGATGTTTCGAACTCGATAACCAATTGGCGTGTACGAATAGTGGAAGCTGAGATCTAACAATCCAGTTCGGGCCCAATACGGGGTGTGTAGGTGTAAAAATGTGATTAGGGTTATGGGTTGAGATCCGGGTAAAATATCGATAATGATTCAAAATCATAGGTTTGCAACTAAAATTTAGTGAGAGAAACAAATAGAATTATATGCTTTAATAATATTAATGATGATAATATAAGTTTATAGTGATGCTATATTTATTGTTACAATGGCCAGGATTGTATCTTCTGTAGGATTTGGAGATGCATGGGGGGTATACGTAAGATCAAAGGGATAAAACCACTTGATTTAAGGACATTCTCAATGACTTACTATTTGCCCAGAGCTGCGATCAATCTTTCTGTATTAAAATTATTGTTAGTAGGATCTGAAGTTGAATTCGTGCTATTCATTGATCTGCTTCTGTGGTAATAGTGGGTAAGACCTTCCATAAATGCTGAAGTGTGTTGTTCAAAGCTCTCAGATACTATTCTTGTATAATTTACTAACTCAGGGATTGTGGTCTTTAATACTTCTTCCTCATTAAATTCTTCATTGGAATTCGACAAGTAAGTTGCGTGCAAATCCGGATCTATCTGACACAGACGGCGCCTCATGGAGGTGATGAACTTACAGAACTTGTATATGATTTCAAATATTTGCAACTGTAGTTGGAACATCTGTGAGAGACAACAATTGGTCATAATATTGGTCAAACTTCCTTGTAATTGAAGTTGCCAGTCAACCACATATTTTCTGTCATTAAGTTTATGATCCTCATTTAGATATTTGTTCATTTCTTGTTCAATTACGTTTTGAGTGTAGTACTCCAAAATAACCTTCACAAATTGACTCATCCTATTATGCAACATTCTACATTTTTGTACAACGTTTTTTTTGACGACTGGCGGGTAATGTCTATATTTCCATATCACATTCTTATTTATTTCAAACCATGTGTCATCAAGAAGTTTGCTATGATATTGCAATAGATTAAAGAACCTGGAGATAATTTGATATTGAACCATGCATGTCCTAGTAACAAGAACATTTAATGGATATGGTATTAAAATCTCAAATAACAAATGGTGAATGTTAGTTTTTGGTGCCACATCTGATGAATTCTCCTCAATGGAGGCAGATTGGACCTCTTGTAATAATATATCTCTTAAATTTTGAAAATTATTTGCCCTCAATAATTGATTTCCATTTTCATCGTTACAATTCATATAACCGCTTTGATTATCATAACTATTTTCACCAATATAAGATAGAATAACCTTTTCAAATGGTTGAGAATCTAATTGCAAATTCAATAGTTTAAATACAATATCTTCATCTGGGGCACCATGCCTATCGAGTTCAAAGTTTCTTTGTAATTTCAATACTTGATTATTAGAGGTACCTTTATAATGTCGGGTAAGTTCAATCATATTCTTTTGTAAAAATTTGTAAAGATTGTTAGCATTATGGTAACTGAAGAAATGCTTCTGTAGTAATTTTAAAAATTTAATAAGATCATAATCGCGTAGATACATATCGAGACATAATTGATTTGCTCGATTGTACCATTTATCAATATATAATTCCAAATTTGTACTTTCCATTAATTCGACAAAAGAAGGAACATCATCTGCTAATTCTTCAGTTGGCAATCGGACAATACCATAACTTTTTTTTATTATGTTCAATAATTTTCCTGTCATTAGCACTTTGTATAATAAGGCACTTTCTTCACTAGTGCTAAAAACATCAAGTAGACCATCTTTGCGCACTACGTATTGAGTATCCCAAATTCTATCATCATACTTTAAACTTGATGCAACATTATCTACATTTTTCATGGTATCGGAAATCATGAATTCATTACATATATCATTAAGCTCACCCTGAACAAGCCAATCATTCAACATCTTACAATAATCTATACTAATATTGTTTAATAATTTTCTCAAAAAATCAATGCTTGCTCTATCTCCCAAGGTTTCATTTACCAAGTTCTGTATAATCTTTAGAATAACACCACCTTTAGGGATTGATTGTATTCTTGTATCTGTTACCAAAATCACACCATCTTTAAAATTTCCTTGCTCTTTCAAGTCATTCATGAAATTATTGAAATCTTCTTGCATTCTATCCATACTATTTCTTAGGGTAATTTCTTCTTGAATTTTTTGGTATATATTAAATAACAGCGACATCTGCTTGTACACTTCTGTATCGTATGCCAGCTGTTCTAAATCTCTTATACTGAAATTTGGATTATTTTTAAATTCAAATTCTAATTTATCTACAATAAACGGTAGATAAGTGTTTGATAAGAATTGTCTTATTTCAAAACTCAACCTTTGTAAAACTTTCCCGTATATTGAATCAGACCAAATCTCACTAGCCGAGGTTAAAACGATATACAATTGACCTAATTTTACCACTCTATTACAAATTGACTTTAATGATGGATCCATCATTTTAGCAATCTTAAATTCTGGTACAACATTTGAATCAGGTCGATATGAGTTATTATAACGAATATAAGTACCTTCGAACCCCAGCAAAACATTCAGTAAGTCTTGCACCACCAACGCTTCTTGAACCCTACTCTGAGACGCATTCGATAGTAAATTAAGCGGGTATGATTTAATTTTAGGAGCCTCACTGTATAGCGGCTGATAGTTTGATTGGCGTCCTAATAACGTCGCAGCAGCTGTTGGCGACACAAACTCCACATTATCTTCAACTTCCTTAACCTCCATTTATAAAACTGTAAATCAAACTAAGAATATACTCAATCACCTACTTGATATAGTATCAATTTCACTAACAAATCACTATTTCTGATAGATCGAGTGCACGCTTGTTTTTAATCTTGAGATTTAACCAACAAAGATCTTGAAATCCTAACGAAAAGAGCCAAAAACCCAAACCTCAAACAATACAGTTCTAATTAAAATGAATATTGCTACTATCCAAGATGTTCAATGTTTACCGCTCTTAGACAATCTTTAAAAGTCGGAAATGACCGTTTTGATCTTCTTGTGTAGTAGTTTATATACGTTTCTAACCTGATTTCTTTTTGTTTACAGTTTTTCGAAGGTCATTTTTAAAGAAGCTTAAATTTTTTGATAACATCATTAGCACGTGACACCACACCACGTGATAACATACTAGTCACATGACAATATGTCACATGATTTTGATGGCTATTATTAGTATATAAGTAACCTTCATACGTCTTGAATAAATGAAAGGTATAAAGAGAGGGAAGAAGGTTAACAAACCATTTCAAAAGTACCTGGAATCAGACAGTAAAATGACAATAATAATAAGAGGACTACTACATATGAATCTCAGTTTCTCTTTATCATAATTGTTTAATTGCAACTATTTCTAGTATCATACAGTTATTTTTGTAAATGACTGAAATTTTGCGAATGGTTGTAATTTAACGAGAAGTAATACAAATTGATCATTAATACCACCATTCGAATCCTTGCAATGAGTTGAGTATTATCCTGATAACGTTATCGTTGTATTATTATTACAATCAGTGCAAAATCACCCATATCACTAACAACGAGGTGCAGGTCTCTATTTTAGAGCCTGACATATTTTCTATCAAATCTTTAAATATCAGACGGTGGCGAACTTTTAAAGGTTTATCAACATATCGAATACGTTTAAAACTTTAAAAGTGATGGGTTTGTAAGATAAATTGATCTTATTGAACTATCTAGCAGGTCAAGGGTAGCATTGGAGTTGTGAATCGTTGTAATTTGAAGTTATATTTGTGTTTGAATTGAAAATAATAATTGTGAATAACAACTAAGAATCAATTTTCTATCACTTACAATACCATTAACTAGCATAATTATAATAAGAATATTAAGGATAATAATATAGGGAAATTACAAGTGAGTAGTGTTATATATATACGATGTTTTTAACAAGAAGTGAATACGACCGTGGTGTCAGCACATTTTCCCCAGAAGGTAGACTTTTCCAAGTTGAATATTCATTAGAGGCTATTAAACTGGGTTCAACAGCAATTGGTATTACCACAAGAGAAGGTGTTGTATTAGGTGTAGAGAAAAGAGCCACTTCTCCATTATTAGAATCTGATTCTATTGAAAAAATTGTAGAAATAGATAATCATATTGGTTGTGCAATGAGTGGTTTGACTGCAGATGCTAGATCTATGATCGAGCATGCTCGTACATCCGCTGTTACCCATAATTTATATTACGACGAAGACATTAGCGTCGAGACATTAACTCAATCTGTATGTGATTTGGCTCTAAGGTTTGGTGAAGGTGCTTCTGGTGAAGAAAGGTTAATGTCCAGACCTTTTGGTGTAGCATTGTTAATAGCAGGTTACGATAGGGATCAAGGTTATCAATTATATCATGCCGAACCTTCAGGAACTTTCTACCGTTATAATGCCAAGGCTATTGGTTCAGGTTCCGAAGGTGCTCAATCAGAATTACAAAATGAATGGCATTCTTCTCTAACTTTGAAAGAAGCTGAATTATTGGTTTTAAAAATCTTAAAGCAAGTAATGGAAGAAAAATTAGATGAAAGCAATACCCAATTGAGTAGCATAACAAAAGAAAATGGTTTTAAAATCTATAATGACGACAAAACTGCTGAACTAATTAAAGAATTAAAGGAAAAAGAAGCCCAAGAAAATCCAGAAGAACCTGATGTCACCATGTCATAATTTAAATGATTCTATTATATGTATTTTAAAATAATGAATAGATATATATATATAAATAAATAAACAAATAAATATAAATAAATATAAATAACACAACATTTTATTCAAACCAAGTACAGAAATTCAAAAAAATAATAGTAATAAATTATCATTAGTAATAATACATACTGAATTTAATATATACAGTCTCTTATAAATTCTTGCCTTTATCATATAACCAATATTTTTTTCTATGAATCAGTTATTCTACAAGATGTGAGTACTCAGGCACTTCCTTTATTTTTGAATTAAAAAATTTCTCTAGTCTATTAGCGTATTTATAATAGGAAGTGTTTTCACCATTATATTTACGACAATTATTGAAAATTAACCTCGCATCATAAATAAAGTCTTCCATCTTGTCGTATCTGTTGCTTTCTAATTTGACCTCCATAGTACTTAAGTCCATAGGCTCCTTAATGAATTCATAATAGTCTGGAACTTCTTCTTTATTAACAGGCTGTAAAAATGGCCATGCAGCAGCGTGGTTTTGTAATTCTGTCAATATATTTTGCATTGCTGCATAATGAGGACCTCTCTTGGGCCTTTGTGCCAATTCATCCATTTCTGGTGTCCATCCTGCTTCTTTCAAACCAGGGATCGACATAGGATCTATTGGCTTTATGTTGTCAAGATCTCTAAATTGATCTAAACCTGGTCTTACGATATGCGATTTTGATATTGACCTTATTTTCCTAATTAGTGCTGCTTCTTGTAGTAGCAAAATTTTGGGAGCATCTAAGTATCGTATACGTGGTAGCATTGAACATTGCATTAGTGTACCTCCTTCATAATCTTTTATATACCCCATCCAAACTTGTTTTTCTAAAGTAATCTCTTTGGTAAAACCCTGCTTCTTGAAATAACCAATGGCATAATTATCAGCATAAGTTAGAAAGTACTTTATAGGCGAAGTGTTTCGTACATAATCCTTCAAATGATTCATTAGATGAGCACCATAACCTCTGACTTGTTCTGTTGAACTAATAGCACAGAAAACAATTTCAGCAAAACCTCGACTATCAAATGGACGATAGGTGATACCACCAACAACAGTTAACGGTTTCCTAACCACTGCCATTGACAAATGACTTCGATCGTACACTAATCTTGCAATATATTCTTTTGGCATTTTTGGTAATTGTTTTTGGAAAATATTTTTTAAACCAGTTAGAACCATCATATTTTCCTTTGTATTATCATTGTTAACAACTCTGAATTCAATTTTACCTTCTTTTTCTTCAATGACACTAGGTCTCTCTTTAAACTTATACTCTACTCCATCAAATGTAAATGTAGTTATGCCTTTTTCTTCAATTTCTATGCTTTCAGATATACTTCCGGATTCTTCTACTTCGGATTTATTGGCATTGTTCTCATTAGTGTTTTTACTATCAGAATCAGATTCATCTTCATTATTTTTAGTTCTTTCATTTTCTTGTACTGGAGTCTCTGTTTCTTGCTTATTCTCTATTGTTTCTTCTTTATCAACATCTTTTGTAGAATCAATATTCATTTCCAATCTATCGTCATCTGACTTTTTATCTTCTTCCTTTCTCTCATCCTTCTCACCAATATTTTCCTTCCTTTCTTCTTCTTCAACCTCTTCCTCAAATGATGACTCCAGATCTTTATACTTAACATCTGTATCTTCTTTTATAGCCGTTGTTTCAGCATCGCTATTTGTATTCCCATTGTTATCTTCTTTTGGTTCTTCTTCTAATGCTACTTCATCTTGAACAGCGCTTTCTTCCTTATCTTTTTTGAGATCTTGCCCTGATTTTTCCTTAGTGGCTTCAGACTTATCCTTGCTTTCTCTTGCTTCTAATTTCATCTTCTTGTTTAAAGGTCCCTTTGCTAGACCACCTCCATGTCTTCTATGGCTTCTGCGTCTTCCCGCCATTGCTAAACCTTAACACAATATATCGAACGTTACCAATTGAATATGTTTCACGTGAATTAACCCCAAAAATCAAAGGAAACAATTATTCTTTACCCTCTTTTTCTTCAACTAATCATCATTAGATTGCTATTATTTCCATCTTCATCAATATTATTTATTTAAAGGCATCAATTAAATATTTCAATATCATTTCAAGATCAAAATTCATCAATTTCATATCAACAAACGTAAATAATGATACAATTTCTAAGTCACATGATATGAATGATATTTATATCTTAGCACTGATCTAAATATCCATAAATCCGTAAATGTTATCTAAACAGTAGACTTTCAACACTGGTACAATATCTTAGAGTTTTATTTCATTTATAAAATAAATACATATCGAAAAATTTATATTAAATTTCGTTTTATTAATATATAGATAAAATCCCAACCATATTTCAAAATATGTTTTATCAAGGTTAGATTAAATATAGTTTATTAAAGTTAGATTTATTATACAGTGATTAAATAATATGCTTACATACCTTCACCCATCTCATCTGCACCGTTGTCATCTAATGTCATTTCATCCAATTCATCTAACAATTCATCGATATCGATTTGAGGAGCGTCTTCATCTTCATCTTCTTCCATACCATGTTCTTCAATATTTTCTGGATTACTGCTCTTATATAGATTAACAGTTTGTCTTAATTCTTGATCTTCTTCCAATTCTTGCAAGAATAATTCGTAATCTCTTTCAGCACGTTCAATATCTTGTTTTTGAGATTTGGAACTGTAATCTTGAGAAGCATCAATATCCTTATGTTCCTTAGCCATTCTCTTCAACTTCCAGTTTCTGTTCTTTCTGCTCTTTCTTTGGTATAATTTCTTAACTATAACAACATCTGGAACATGATCAATATTCAGGTCATCGAATAAATCAGAATTATAATTGGAATTGGCAACGAAGTAACCCATAACAGTATCACCAGAATGGCATAACGCACCCAAATGAGATCTAACATAGTATGTTTGATCGTTAACACCTAAATCAGTAGATCTAGCTACAGTTATGTCAGCTAAGACATGTTTTCCTTTACTTATTCCAACTGGTTCGACATCCAAAACCATAAATTCTACTAACTGTGAGACATCAGCCAACGGTTGGAATGAATTTCTCCAATAAACAGGAGCAGATAAATCTACAGTTTGTAAAGTAGTTGGATCCATGAATTGAAGTGTGTTTGAAACTTTTGTACATAAAACAAATTGAGAAATATTACTCAAAGACTTTGCTAATTTTTTTGGTAGGACAACTAAATCATCTCTACAAATTGGAACAATTTCAATGGAATATGAGAATTTATAAGTAGCAGAACCAGAATGAACATCCTGAGAGATCAATTCTTCGGATTTTTTGGCTTTAATAGGAACGACAGAATTCAAGAAATCCAGCATTTTAACAGCATGGTTCTTTTGGGCATAAAAGAAATCCAAACCATCCTTTGCTTCAGTGATGGAAATGGTATCAACATGAGCGTTGTGTTTTAAAATCAACTGTTCCAAATATAAGAAAGTTCTCTTGTGTGGAACTTTTTGTCTAATTTGAACGGTAGCTCTCCAAGTATTTGTAGTATAAGATCTGGCACAGTCAGCACATTGCATAGCAATGACAATATATTCAACTTCAAAAGTTTGTTGAATAATAGTATTAACCATAGCTTCACCTTGAACGGTTAACTTAACTCTAATACGTCTGGAATGGGGTTCAGTCCATATAAACGATGCATCGACTAATCTAACTTTATTCAAACCTTTCAAACGACGTAAACATAGTGCTAATAGTTCTCTTGATTCCAGTTCAGCTCTTATCCATTGACCAGGAGGTTGTAAGAATCTTTCACAATTTCTACAAAATGAAACATTAGCTTCTCTTGGAATACCTTCAGTGATATCGACAGTCATCTTAATACAATCATAACACATAACTAAACCAGTAGACCCATCAATAGGGGCACCACAGTTACAACATAACACAGTAGCAACATTTTGATGTTGATGTTGATGCTCTAACTGATTAGTATCCATAGGAGTATAACTCATCTTTGACTATTGGTCTTATCCACTTGATCTTATAGCTGATTTGACGAATAAATTTTGAAACAAAATTACAACGAACTTAATCAACACAATAATAAGATTTGCTTCAACTTATATAAACTAACGACCTTCCCAACATTCATCAATCAACAAGGAGGTTATAATAAATTATGTTATCTCATTACTAATGAGGTCCTAATTATTAGCGATGAGCTAACTGATAAAATTTTCAACGAACACTATTTAACCGATCTGACAGGCGCTACCATAATGCAACCATTTATATTATGGAACAGACAAGGATGATGAAGATGTCAAGCCGTTTGTATATTGTTATCAATTGAATAAGATGCTGTAATGATTCTCTATATAATATTTATCTATATATGTGGTTTGATGTTCTATGTTGTTTTATTTTTGAGAAGCAAACTCAAGCTCTCAAGCTCTTTTCTGCAAGGTTTTTTTTCTTTTGAGTTTTCCTCTTTTCACCAAAATTGGCCTTTTCCATGTCCATTAAAGATTCACGTTTAGCTTTTGTAACCTTTGTCAATGCTTTCCTAATCACAGCTGTGTCGTGAACCTTCTTACACTCATCCATTTTCTTATTTATTCTTTCTTCAATAGCTTCGATCCTCGAGACGTCTCTTGGAGTGACAAATGATATGGCATCACCTGATCTACCAGCACGAGCGGTACGACCAGATCTATGAATAAAAGTATCTGGATCCTGTGGGATGTCATAATTGATTACTAGTTCCACTGTTGGGATATCCAAACCTCTAGCGGCAACATCAGTTGCAATTAGAACTCTTGCAGCGTTAGCACGAAACCTTTGTAAGGAATTTATTCTTTCAGATTGAGGCATTTGAGAATGTAATGATGCTACTCTAACTTCAAGAGATCTTAAAGTTCTTCGTAGAACCTCAGCAGCAGTAGTTCTATTTACAAATACAATGACGCTAGAGTCTTTGTAATCTTCGCACGTAAGCAATTGGTATAGATATGCTTCTTTAACATGTTCTGGGACTAAAAGATATTCAAGCTTTAAGGTGCTTGGTACTGCAACATTGTCAACATTTTCTACTTCGTAAGCAAACAATGGGGGCTTACTATCTTGTGCTGGTGCATTTTGTAAAGCTCTAACTTGATCAGTGATAGTTGCTGTAAACAATAAGGTTTGTCTTTTTTGTTTTGGAGGTAATTTTGCGATACAAGTGGATAAATCTGCTGCAAAAGTTTGTGTTAAAATTAAATCGGCTTCATCAAGAACCAAATATTTAACTCTTGAAAGTCCACCGACTACTTCTTCACCACTTGATAGTATATGATGAGCTAATCTACCTGGAGTAGCGATTATGAAATGTGGTTTTTTCTGTAATTCTAAAGCTTGCTTGACTATACTCTCACCACCTACAACCAAACAAACTCTGATATTCATGGAACTTCCCAAAGCAGTGAATTGTTCAGCAATTTGAATTGCTAATTCCCTAGTTGGTGTTAGAACCACACCAAACATCCCAGATGGATCATCTGACCATTGAGATAACATAGGCCCTGCAAAGGCAATGGTCTTACCAGAACCAGTTTTTGCACCACCGATACAATCTCTACCTTTCAAAATCTCAGGTATACAATGCTTTTGAATAGCTGTAGGATGTGTAATCCTCATCGCATTCAGAGATTCCACCAACCATCTCGATAAACCTAGCGATTTAAAATCTTGCATAATATTGAACTATAATTATTTTAATCAAATGGATTACTGAGTTTGTCAACTTCTAATATACTCTGGTAACGCTTTTGAATGATTGACTACATTCTAATAGTTTCATTTCTTTATTTTATACTTGGTTCCTTAGTTGAGATGAGATGAGATGAGATGAGATGAGATGAAAATTTTCGCGAGATAGCTAAAAGGGTCTGTTTACAAACAATGATAACAGTGAAAAATGGTAAATAATAGATATGTTTAGTGATGTGATTAGAGTTTGTTAATGGATGGTTTCAAGCTCTAGAGAGTATATCAAGACATAGATAAGTACGATGGATTTGTTAAGTGACAGTTTATTAGATAAGAGAGGCAAGTTGCTGGATTCCTTGTTAGCTGGGAAGAAAGTTAGCATTTCTAAGAAATCGATAGAACCTGACTCGTTAGAAAAGAAGCAAGTAAGGGAAGCAGTTTTAATATTATTAAGATTAGGATATGAATTCCATAGTATTGTGGAGGAGGGTGATATAAATGCTAATTTCCTTGAAGATGTTTACAAAGATATGAGATTGAAGATCCCTTATAAGGTTGATAGTGGGAGAGATACTGAGGAAAAGTTGAATGAAGTAAGAGCATCTTCAGATAATGTTCGTGAGATTGAGAATAGTAGTTCAAAAGATGATTCACCAATGGTCGTTGCAGGCAACATCCCTGAGGAAGAATCAAAATTGGTTAAAGAAATTAAATTACTTTTCTTACGAGAAAGGGTTTCCTTGAGTAAAATTTTACAACTAAACAAAAATGGAGAGTATGGAAACAGACCACTTACTGATACTGAAATAAATGAATTAAAGAAACTGGCGAATATTACTCAAAATTATACTAATGAAATAATATCGAACTTGATTGAATCACATAATAGCAATGAAGTTAAAGGAAATACGTCAGCGTCGCATACATGAAAGAGACCAATTTTCCTCGTTGATCAATAATGAAAGATTTATAAATTCCTTATCTATATAATAATTGGGGGATCAAATACGTTTTGTATTGAAGTTTAAAGTTTCGTTTAATCGTTCTTCCCTCAAGAGGTCTCTTTTAAACGATAACTAATCATCGTTTTCCAACGCCAATACCATAGCTTCCTTCAAAAAACTCTCACAGCCCATGCGACCTCATTTTTTCAAATTATCTAATCATTATCAATCATTATCAATCATTATTACAAGTCATACTCATCTACATCTTACCTCAATCAGTTGAACTAGTTGTCAGCCACTGGACTGCATTACTCAAGTCATCAGTACCTAAGCCCAAGTAATCGCATCGCTAGCAACTGGCACACGTGTAAAATTTGAAGCTGTCGTTCTGCCACTTTTCCCCTCGCTGCAACAGGGATGCTTTTTCACCGACTAGTTAGTAATAACTCTCGTAATAGATGCGATGCACGGAGGTAATATGACAAAAACTTCAGTTCGAATTCGAAACTACCAAGTAATGCTTTATCTGTCAAATTGTCTCTCTGTTCAATGGAGCCACTCTGGTAATAGAACCACATCAATAACGACCACCAACTCCCACCTTCAGTGTTTGTCCACTTACTTTTCAAAGACTATATTGCTTCTCTTCCTCTCTCCCTCACAATCGATTAATTGTATCCATCCATCATCATCTGTCTACTACACCGAACTCGACTCAACTCGACTCAACTCAGCTCAACTCATCCTCCTGCACTCAGCTGCTGTACTGATTGATGAAAAGTTAAGGAACGAAAAATTTAACGCAGTAATATGGTAATGTACCCTAGGGTTTAAAGAGCGTTTTTACAACTATAACTGCAAAGATACATGATTATAATTATACTATGTCATTTTGGGACCAAAAATATGTGCTACTTTGAACCAGGAGTGAGAGTGGTCTTTTAAATTTTTTTTTTTTATTTTTTGCTTTGGTTTCTTAGATTTTGTTCCATTTAATAATACAAGTAGACCACCACTACCGTTACTGTGCATGCCTCGTGGTAAATGCAGCATCTTTTTTACTCACTTTGTATTATTGTTGGAATCATTATACATTTTACATACATCATATCAATTCACCACTAGGTTATTCTTACTGATGGTTACCAATGGATGAACCTCTTATTGAAAAAGCAAAACTACACACATACACACATACACACACATTATGTTCGCTAATTTTCGAATCGAATCGAATTGAATCGAATTAAACTGAATCGAAATTTTAATTATTAATGTACTACTGTATTGTGCGTGAGTGTGTATTATTTCCCACTGGGCTTATATCTTGGCTGGGGGTTTTTGCTTTACGGCTTGTTCTAAATTTAATCAGTCATCATCATTCGTCCCTGCCATTGGACTGGATTGAATTGGGTTTTAGGAAGACACACATATTGACCAAATTATATTTTTAACCTAAATAGTGTAGTATTGTTTTATGGGATAGATTTCGAAAATTCGGTTCTATCTTTACTGAGAGGTTTGTTTGGTAATTTTGGTCCGATCTAGATTAAACCGTATATTTTAGAGGTAATTTAATTATAAATACAATTTGGTTTAATATTTTGCAAGTGTTATTAAAATTAAAGGACAAGTTAAGGTTGATTCAAAAATAAAATTGTAGTCTAAAGATAGATAGATAGATGCACAGAAATTTTGTCGAAATATTTGTATATCTACAGACCATTGGATTTGAACATAATTTTTTTTCTATTCAATTTAATATTAAATCAAGTTTGAATAGATTAATTAAACTTTAAAAAAAGGTACTTATTCTGTTGTTCTTTTCATTTCTGTTTCTTAACACCTATTTGTGCTTTTTCTTAGACATTAATATAAATTAAGAATATAAATCATAGGGTTTTTAATACAATGTCGAATGTGGTTTCGGAGTTAGAACAGTTAGCAAATACAAATTTGATAACGATAAGAATTAAATGGTTAGAAGAGTCTTCTGAGAATGAAGTATCTCAATTTCATGACATTATACATAACCATAAGGGATTTGTTACATCTCGAGCATTCATAGAAGATTATGAGTATCTAAGGGATGAAGAGAGATTAAAAGTGTTGGAAGAAAATAAAGAAGTTTTCCTTTTCGAACAGGGTTCTAAAGATCTAGATATCTCATCGCCTGCTCTATCTGAGGGAAATTATGATTCTGTAATTCAAGCACAGTTTAAAAATTCAGAGACGTTGCATACAGTCGCATCCATACTGCTCGACAAGACCAAATCTCAAGATGGTGTAACAAATTGGTCGGTTTCTATTAATGAGCATGCGTTAACTCATCCAGGAAATTTATATATTAAAGGTATTCCCAAAGATCTGTCAATAGATGATTTAGTGCCAGTATTCTCTACTTTTGGGGACATCATCTCAATGAAAATCATCCAAGACTCGATTACAGGTATCTCATTAGGATATGGTTTCTTATCCTATAGGTTAGGCTCCCAATCTTCTTCATGCATGAGTAAGCTTAATGGTCAAATTATGAATGGTTCTACCTTATTTATCAACTATCATGTCGAACGGAAAGAGAGAGAAAGAATATATTGGGATCACTTCAAAGAGAATACTGATTCTAAAAAGTTTAGAGGTGTCTTCATCGGTAATTTGCCAATTGTGAACCCTAATGACAATGAACTAATTACTCCAGAACAGGTTCTTTCTAAATTTAAAGAAGAATTATCAAAAGATATTCCAGTTGATGTTATTATCTCCTATTATTTCCCAAAACAAAATAGTCAATCGAATTTAGAATATTCTGACACAGAGGATGCTTCTATTAAGTCACCTAAAAATGATGATAACCTCAATAGAGAGGGTGATAATGAAGAAACTTGTCCCTCTCAATTTGAAGATTGTCCATTGAAAGGGTATGGATTTATCAAGTTCTCAAACCATGAATATGCAGTCTTAGCAATTGAAAAGTTTAAAGAGTTTGAATGGTTTGGCCATAAATTAACAGTAAATAAAGCTATTCAGAACAAACCACACCATTCCGGTCATAATGAAAAATTGAGCACATCTGCATCTACTATGGTATCAAATCCAACTCCACCTTTAAATATTAAAAACTTTGGCAACCCAAACTTCAATAATTTTGGTACTTATCAATGTTATTTCCCCTATGGTATTCCACCATCTGCAAACTTACAAAGTTATTATGCTAAATCTTCACCTTCTTCTTTGCCAATGTCATCTGATAATGAAAATTCATCTATGGACTCAATTGAGGCACACCAAATTTCAAATGGCGTAATTAGAAATGGTGAATTTTTAGATGGTTATAACTGCTATAATAATATTCCTTTTACTAATTCATATATGAATGGCACCCATTCACTTTACATGTTTAATGGTCACTATAATTATTATCCAAATTCATACAATAATTCTATGAAATTTGGATATCCAAGACCAATGAAAGATCAACAAGAGTCAAATATATATATAAAACATATACCATTTTCATGGAAAGACGAAGATTTGTATGAATACTACAAGAAATATGGTGAAGTCATTAGTGCTAAGGTTATCACTGTAGGTGGATCCAAAAATAAGGATTCGAAATCTGAATTGAAAGGTAGTGATGCACCAGTTGGTACTTCAAAAGGATACGGCTTTGTATATTTTAAGAACCCAATCGATGCATCAAGAGCCATCTTAGAAACAGATAGAAGAAAATTGGATAAAGACCATACCTTACATGTGTCATTCGCTCAAAAGAGGTCTAGATCAATTGATGATGATTCATACGAAGCTAATGTCAACCAAAATCATAACAGTTCTTTTCAGAACAGTAAAAACGGCAATTCAAGAAGATTCTCATATAATGATTATTCACCTAATTATTATAATAATTATCAGTATATGAATAATATGAGACAACAACACAGACATTCAATAGGTCATTTTTCACAAAATACTCCCAACTATATTGCCAATGCTACACATTGGAATATGCATATGATGCAGCCTGTTACTCCTATTAATCTTACAACTCCAGCTTTTATTTCAAGGACATCACCAATAAGCATGCCATATATGCTACCTCAGCAGGCAGCAGTTAATGGTAAAATTGATAATAATAATAATAATAATAATAATCATAATACTAATTTAAAATTACCACGTCAAGAAAATGATTGATAAGAAATAGGTGTATATATTTAAATAATCTGATCCTATAATTGTATAGTTCAAGTTTAAATGTAGTATCATTCATTGTGAAGTTATTTTCTGAAGTTGTTTTTCTAAGATTAATTCTATATATAGATGGCATTGGTCCTTTTTCAACATGTTGTTTATAGTGTTTAGAATTATTTAAAAAATTATTAGCATGCAATTAATAATACATAACAACAATAAACTGTTGTCTAAAAGTCTTGTAAAGAAAATCTCTATTTATAAATAACCATTTCCCAAAACTTTCATGATTATGCATATGAACAGTTGACTCAAATCAATATTATGGTTAAGGAAAAAAAAATAAATATAGATACATATAATATGAGAATCGTAATTTAGTCTATCAATATTCATTTTGAGTCTAATGACAGTAACTCATCTTTTAGAAGTTGTAATGTTTGTGCAATTTGTTGATATTCAATGTTAGTATTTATTTTACCTGGTATCATTGATAATTCTTTTGATTGAGTATGCATTAATGAGTTTAACACATCAGTTAATGTAAGCACAGCTTTTGATAAAGATTGTACCTTAACATCTAAAATATGTTGGTAATCATATTGCTGCATTGGAACTACAGAATTAGATGGCATAATTATTGGTGTTCTAGTTGGAGTCGGGTGAGATATTGGCACAGGGTTAGCTGGTTGACCATATATAGGATTATTTGCATTTGAAGGAGGTGGTACTGTGCTATTGTTATTTTGGTTTATAGTTGGAGGTAAAACATTATAATTATGAGATGCGTTAACAGATGGAGTTGTCAATGGAGGTGCAGATAATGAAGTTGGTGGAATATGAGCATGGGGGGTTTGATGATAATTTGGTTGTAATAATGATGAAGATGTTGTATGTGGTAAAGACATCATTTCATTACCATTTGGATTTCTATTAACCGGAGGTAATTCTTCTTTTAATGTAATAGCAGAATGACTATGAATTGATGGAGGAGGAGGAGTTGGTATTGGCGAAGATTGGATAGGGTGTCTCAAAGGTATAGGCTGTTGGCTAATATGATTATTTAAAGGAGTCGGTTCATTAATGATGTATGGTTTCTGCATTACATGATTATAATGATATTGCATATGATGTTGATCATAAATAGTTGGTAAAGTTTGATTTGTTTGGTAAGAGATTTTTGGTTGTTCAACATAACTCACACCGACATGAGATAAAATATTTTTTCTTTTACCATCCTTACCTACACCAGTACTTTTCCTTTGGATTTTTTCTAGATTTAAAATATCAGCATTTTTATGGAAATAACCTGATGGGTGTGTAAAATACCAAATAGTCAAAGATCTATCTTGCGGTAGAGTTGGTGGAAATGATATATCTGATTCTGAAGGATCTATGCCTGAATTATTACCATTATTTGTAGTGTTTTGTGGGTCTGTATTGTTCCCATTTTTATCGTTACCTTGCTTATTTAAATGGGAAAGTTTGTGAAACCCATACATGTGTAATTGTCTAACAAAACTACTGACATTACCATGTTTAAAATAGCTTTTCAAAATCTGAGATGAGAATTGAGTTGAATATGGTTTAATAGCAAAGATTGAGCTATCATCTTCTGACCAATAAATCCAGTCTGTTAAATCAGGCTGGTGAAGTATAGAATATAACTGATGTAAAAAAGTCCTGGTTGGCATAATTTCTCTAATTGTAAACTGTCATAAAGGTATGGAAGAGGTTGTTTATTTTATTATATAAAGTAATAAAATAAAGGTTTCAATAACAAATAAATAGCGATGCTCAGGTTATATTTTTACTTTCACTTGGTTTATAATATGTTTCCAATGAGATGAATGCAAATTGAGTTGAAAAAATATCTTGCAATGAAAAAAAAACTATAGATATAAAGAGTGGGAAATTGATTGCTTCACCACTTATATTAATGAAAGGCAGCGATATATTTAATATATAGGAATAAGTGTTGGTAGCCAAATATTAGAATTCTCTATTACTATTACTATTATTATTATTTTTCTATTCAAATCAGAAAAAGGAGAATATAATCAAATCAAATTAAGTTTAATTTAATATAATATAATATAATATAATCTAATATAATATATTAGATTATGCTTTAGGTATTGAAATCCGGAAAGAAGTATAAAATTTTAATCAGAGGTTAGAAGTTAGTAAGTAACTGGTAAGGTATTTAGCGTAAAAAAAATAATTTGTAATAACTTCAATAAGATACCGGTAGCGAGGATTAAACCTAAATAACAATAATTAAAATTAAAATTTATTCGGAACGATGATTTTAATTTTAAATTGGTATCGAAACAATAATCAGTATTCTCAATTGAGATTATATAAATACTAAAAATACAGGAAATATATGAAATGAGCCATTGAATTTACTGCAAGAAGAAACCAAAACCGAAACTCCAAACAGAGAGACAGGAAGGAAGAGATAATTCTAGTTGTATTTTAGAGGTGGGTTTAGGAATACCAAAGCAGAACAACCAAAATTTTTCTTTTTATTGGAAGTACTAAAATGCAAGAACTAAATACGATAATTTCGACAAGAAGTTAGTGAAGTTGAAAGTGCAATGGAAAATTAAATTAAAATTGAAATAATTGAGGTGGGATGATCGTTACCTGAGCAAGAACAGTAAAAGTTTCAATAGTGGAATACCAAAATAATCTAAATTTAATTCATCTTGAGCTTGGACTTTAAAGTTGAAGTTGGAAATGCAAATAACGAAGTAAAAAGGAGCTGTACACAGTTTGCGGATTCAACCAGTTGTCGTTGGTAGTTGGTAGTTGTTATTGAGATTTTAATTCAATTGAATTGTATTGTATTTTATTGGTATGTGCGATGAATCAGTTAAAGGATATTATACCATTAATAGAAATCAGATGTCAGTTTGCTCCAAGATCAAACCAGAAATGTTAACGTATGTGATTTAAGTGAAGAAGGAAATAAGAAGATAAAAATTTTTTTTCATTTCCAGTTCAACGTGGATTTCAATTCTTTTTTTATTTTTTTGGCAACATTTTACTTTTTATTTTCTATTATGGTTCTCTAGGTAGTCTTGCCTTAAATTACTGAAGGATAAGAAGAAAAAAAGCTGTAATTTTGTAATTGTAAATTTAGAATTTAAATGAAATGGTAAGTGTAATTCAGCTGGAATACAACTGAATTATCTTGATGTTTCTTGAATGAGGCCATCAACTTATACTGTTCCTCCTCTGTTCTGTAGTTCTGTAGTTCTGTAGTTTACTCATTTAAAGATCACATTTAGTTTTAGATTGCTACATATAAACGATTGAGAGACAGAGAGAAGAAACTGGCTGAGATAGAATGGGATAGGATTTAAAGGATGAACACTTGGAGTGAGGAAGGGAGGGAGGGAGTGAACTTAACTTGTTTGCTGTGGTAGCTGTAGTTGTAGTTCTTTGGCCTGTGTTGAATAAAAAGTGCCTGTTGATTAGAAGGTCAATAAAATTACACCAGTTATAATGGCAAGAGCTTGTTGGCGAATTTTTGTAAATTCAATTTATATTTTGGTTTTAGTTTAGTTCAACTCAATTTGCTGCAGTGGGTCCAGTTCAGTTCATTTTAAAGATATAACAATAAGAGTATTTTGGTAATAGGAATAAAAATATGTAATCATGATGATGTCGTGTGACAGATGATCAAGGGAATGCAGGAGGAGCAAGGTAGAGGCTGTGTTTGTACTTGTTCTTGTTTTTATAATTTTGATATTTTGTGATTTTTGCATTTGAGTTGTCGTCGTCGTCGCCGTCCTCAGTGTTTCTTTGTAGGCAGGAGCCCGGAAGAGCCGAGTGAGCGATTACAGATTATTCTCTGCGGAAATTGAAATAACATGACTTTTAATGGCTATTTCCCTTTTTGTGCTGCAGTTTTTTCTTTTTTCATTTCTTTTTATCTCTATTAGAAGAAACTAACTGAAGAGTGAAAATTTTATCTATCTTTTTGTGGAAGCAAGAGAAAAATTAAGACTTTTCGTTTCTGTTTCTCTTTTTTGTTTGTGGTCTTTTTTTTCTCTCTGTTTCTTTTTATTCTCGCCCGAGACAGGGTGCCTAGAAAGCACAAGATTCTAGATTTGCTGTTGCGTGCGTTTTCTTTTTCCTCTTTCTTCCGTACGTCCTTCGCATTCCGTCTACCGGGAATAAACATGCACAGATACCCAGATATGGCGGAAAGAGAAACAGAAACGCAAAATGAAAATAAAATGGGAAACAGGAATAGAAATAAAAATTAAAATAAAAAGAAAAAGAAAAAGAAAAAGAAAAAGAAAAAAGGTAATCCAAAAAGTAGTCAATAAATGTGAGTATGAAAAGAGGAACAAACACAAATAATCACATACCTACATATGTTTTTTTAGGAGATTGGAGTGTTTCTTTTTACATGCATGTATCCTTATGTTATATCTCATTTCTATAGGGCTTTCTCTCTCTATTTTTTTCTTTTTTTGTCTTTTTTTTTCTATATGTTGTATAATTTTTGTTGTGTCGTTGTTATATTTTGCAAGACTTGACATACATTTTTGGTTCTACGTAGGGTCGTTAACCTTATCGTATTAGATTGTCCAAAGGATATATCTGAAATATATGGATTGGGTGATGATGGATGGTAACATCCCATCTTTTGTGGTTTAGCCCGTATTCATTTCGGTTTTCCTTCCAAATCCTTTCGTAATAATCACCTGTAACTAAATGCATCTAATGATAAACGCTATGTTATGGACAATTCAATTCTTCCTGTTCGACCTTGTCTGATCTGATCTGATCTGATCTGATCTGATCTTTGGGTATCATGTTACAAGGAAACCAAAAAAGTTGGGTCTTTGTCATTCGCAACATTTCCTGATAGGAGGATTCAGGCGGTAAGGAAGAGGAAGTTGGTTTTGTTGCTTTCATGTCTTTTCTAATTTAATCTATCTAATTTTATTAATCAATGGTTAATATTTAGGAGCGGAAAGAAAAGACATCTGAATTACATGTTAGGTTTGGTTTGATTTTGTTTTAATGGATTGAGCTTATCAGAAATTTTAAATATTGCTGCGTGGGCTTCTCCATACCCAGATCAAATCTGATTTGATTAAATAATACACTCTGTCTTACGAATCAAGTCCATATTCACTACAAGGGTGTAATGCTTTTTTTTCTACTTTTTCCATTTTTGATCCAACCATACAAACCAAAATAAATTAAAAGTACCATGGTTAAAGTGTAGGAGTATTAGTTAGAACATGAGACACGTTTCTTCTTTCTATCCTAAAACCCGGTGTTGAGTAGTGAGAAAAATGCAGATAGACTCAATTGATTCGTTTCTAATAGCTGCAGGCACTTCACAGGAAATATATATATATATATTCATGTAGATTGGATATAAATGGCCTCTAGTCTGATTCTCTTTTTCACCGGTTATTTTGGAATACAGAGGGAAAAATTAAAAGAATCATTTACCCATTCATTCATGCATTCATCATCTAAAGACGTTTCTCTTCGATTTCCTTCACTGTATAATAAAATCAACCTAATTCGAAATGGAAAAAACTATTAAGATTGGTGAGATTGTTACCAAATAAGGAAATAAACGGAAAAATCGTAAAAAAAAAAGTACATCCAAACAGAATCTTTTGCTCCGTTGTTATGGATGGCTTTTTCTCAAGATATCAACGTTCTTCATGTCAATCCGTATATACCTCTGCGCCAAATTCTCTAAACCATGCGCGCATAAATCAAGACATTACTTTCTCTCTTTTCATATCACCTACAAGCTCATTTCTTGTCCCCAACTGACATTTATCCTGAAATTATCAATTGGACAAATCAAATCTTATAATTTACCACGATTATACCTTATTCTTATTTTTCGTACTATCTGCTTCTGTGGAGTGAGCATCCTTTTTTTATCAGCCGGATATTTTATTAGTATCCATCCATTTTAATACTACAATACATAGAAAGTGAACGGTTGCCGCGATCCTTTCAAAATTAGATTATGAGTAACAGATAAGAGAGGTCATGAATTATATTTGTCTGTGTTAATACACCATCACATGATCAAAGAAAGTTAAGTCTTTCTTTACAAGATAAGATCTAGGGCTATACTCTTGTAGGATGACAGATCGCCAATCACCATTAACTGCTACGGGACGAAACGTCTTAACTACATTATTAAACTTGACCTATCAGAGAACAATGATAAATTGAAATTTAAATTCATGAAATGATCTTTATAGGTCTAAAAGTATATAAAATAATAGGAGGAATGGTAACCTGCGGTCACCCTTAATCGATCTTCTTTTCTCATATTCTGAGTATTTTTCACAATAAAGAAAACACCAGTTACTTCAACCGAATTAAGAAGATCATATAATCGACTTTCTGCTGATAAGTAGTTCACTAAGGGTTTTTGTGCTATATATTTATTAGATTAGTAGAAGTGTCGCTAATTATATTGTATATCCTACTTAGTTATAACCATAATTGACCTAAGATTGTTATAGTGTACTAACAATAGAAACAGTGTTTCTTCTTTTCAATTTGTTTGCACTGCAAACAAATTGGAAACTTGAAGTATCATTTGATACAAATTTATAGTACTCTTTGAATTTTGTTGTTGCTTAAGAAATTAGCCAACACTAATATTATAACTCTCTAAAGTATAAATTTATAAAAAAATGATTTCCTTTTACTCCCGGATAGTAATTGACAATAATTAAAAATAAGTTGCTAGGATAGGTTGCTGGCTACATAATTCGGCTAGAAATTTCTAGGCTATTTTACCTTAGCTAGTTGTATATATCCTTGTTTGTTGATCTATCTATTTTGACCAACATTTCTCATAACTTGTACGAAAACATTAATAATTGCTGTATTATTTATCAGTAATAAGATTATGCCAATTAAAACCATCGCAATTAATTTTTTGGGTTCTTGTAATTTAGAAATACATGTGCGAATTAATCCAAATTTTTTTTTGTCAGGCTGAACATGTCAGAAGGCTTTCCTATGGCCTTCCTCTATTAATTTTTGCAGGTTTTAATTAATTTAATCGAATTTTACTTATTTCTATTAATGATTTAATATTTTATATTAGTAATTCTAATTTAGATCCAATATCAATTCTTTGAAGAGAGTTGCTCATCGGATAATATTCTCTAATGTAACTATTCAATCATAAATTTCTTATATTCATACTACTACAGCGTTTTGACTTAATTAAGCAACTGTTTTCTTTAAGCTTGTCGTATATTCCACACCACTTCAAACTAACCAATAATGTGGTTTCAAGAAAAATGAATGGTATGCTAAATGATAAAATTCTCATAGCAAATCCAATTAAATCTCATGAGTCTAAAAAGGCAAGAGAAAATCACAGAAGCATAATCAAAGAAGCATTGAAAAATAAAAATTGACCTAAAGCAATCCAAAAGTATTTCAAATTATCGCATTCCAATTGTCTTACAGTAAAATTACTGTTTTTCTATTCATTCACTAATCCTATCTTACATCTATATCCTGACACTATTTTCAATACAAGTGGAAAGATTTATCCGAAAACATAAGTTTACATTCATCCCAATTTTGAGCCTACTTTTGAAGGATAAGCAACAGATTGTTTCAAGATTTGTTCAAATTTTCTTATGCCACAATTCAAGGGAAGTGCTATTGATTTCATGCCAAGTTTTTGGATCTTACAAAATGGAAAACCTAGTTGCAATAACATATTTGAACAATGGATATGAAACTATTTACAGTTGAGCAACTTGACCTTTATTGGAAAAAGTTTGAATATAGTTAGATGTCTTGACTTAATAATAGAGTTCCATTCATGTCTCTTTTATCGTAATCATCTCTATATTAGGAAGGTTTTCCTAAGATATAATTTTAGCAACAAAATTTAATTTCGAACAAAATGTTGCAAAAAAAAAGACAAAATTCCAAATTAGGAAATTGTTGAGATGTAAAAAAAATAAAATAATGAGAATGAATTAAAAAGACATCGATAGGCAAGTTTAATTATTTCTTCTATCGCAATCAACAATCAACTGTAGAGAAGATTTTGATGCAACAAGCGGTAACAATTTCATTTAATGATACTTTTCTCTGTATGTCTTTGTTTTCGGCATTTTTACGAATAATAATGGCTGCCTGTCTCCTCAAAGCTACATCCATCTAAAGACACGCTTTCTTATTGCCTATATAATTAGGAAAAAATTATAACAATAATAAATAATAATTTGTGTTTAAGATGAAGTATCAATGAGATATCTCTTTTATTGTATAAGTTTCTTCGGTACGAGTTTTCTTTATGCAACTCTCCTGGTTAAAAATCCTCTGTAAATTTCAAGGGCTAGAGAATTTTTTTCTACTATATGTGATGGTAAATAATAGGATTACTAAGAATATGTCATACTGTACTAAAAATTCTCTAACAGTCGTCTAAATTATAATTGTTTTCTTATGTTTAGTTCATACATATATTTCTTACTTTCAATAATAGGTGTTAACGGTTTTGATTTCATCAAATATTTTATTAATAGTAATTTTTTTGGGAGAGTTAGGTTAAACCAAATTAAAATTACATTTAATGACAGATAATACAATAAAATAACTCGAAGGTATATTTTATTGTACAGCTCATTGATGGGTTTTAAAATATGTCAAGAATATATTATAAAACATATTGTTTCTAAACACCATGATTCTATACATTAAAACTTTGGATTAAGTTCTTAATTCTCTTCCTAATAAAAATTACTTATGTCATCATAATAGGGTGACAACATGATGACAAATTACAAAAAGAAAAAGATATTGTTTCTCTTAAACTTTAGATGAATTCCACAAGAAAAATTAAACGATTTAATGGTATATTAGTATATAACACCATTTATAACTCAATTGACATCATCTTTCGTTGATGGAAAAAATTCATCGGCATCAATTACACCATGTTGATGTCATAATCGCGTAAGCATTATTCCTTAATGTTAAGCCTTGATATAAAACTAACAGAAAATATAAGATAATCAAAGGAAGTTAAGAAGTAATTTACCCGCACTGCCTAATTTGGAACCTGAATTCATCACCACCTATCAATAAGAACAGGTGTCATTACCGGAAACTGAAATCAGCTTGATCATATAACTAATTTTTTAAAATATTAGTCACGTGTATTATTTTCTGGGTAACATCTATTAAAATATGACCCTCATGTGATATCTTGGTTAACGAAAGTATATCTGTCTCTTGTTGGTGAGGTTTCTCGGTCAATCGTATTTTAGTATGTCTCTGTTCTAAGTGCACTCGCTAACCAACTTTCATCATAAATTAATCCTTGAAAACTACATATATTTATATATATCCAAATTAATTAAGGTATATTGTTGTAACTTAATCTAAATGATGAGCTAAGCTACATTATCCAAACTAATATTTCCTCCGCATATCTATAGAGAATTCACCCATACTATAAGCATATAAAATTATCCACTTGTCTTCCCATTGCAGCGATATCAATTGAGTTAACACCAGGATCTCAATCACGTGATTTCACCCTTCCATCTCAGCCTATAATGCATTTAAATACTGTCAAACCAGGATCATATGTGTTTCTTTAAAAATCAAACTCTTTAATCATAACCAACATAAATTCGTCAAGTACATCATTCGACTAAGAACATATATAAAGCTTTAGAACTATGACTAACCTATTTTCAGTCTTTCTAGTATTAGTCATTTCGTTACTATTTAAACTAACCAATCAACGATATGTAAATATCTTATGTTACTTAGAAAGCGATGTACAACGGCAATGAAATATGAAAAACTTCAGAATTTGAAAAAGTTATCGAATCGAGATGAGATCAAAAAAAGTTTCATGGCGAATACAAGCTACAATACCAATCAAGATGAGCAATGGAAGGTAGAAGGATATCCATTGATTGACTCATTCTTGAAGTTGCTATATACAAGGGGTGACTAAAACCTGTCATTTGCAAATTTTTCGAGGTTTATTGAAAATAATATACAAATAATTATTCATTAAGCTAGTTGATGAAGAAGAGTTTATTCTTATCATCGATATTACAAGTAGAAGAGGTCTGATATTTGAGTATAAAACCTGTAATATATCCAATCATATCTATATATAAACATACATATATATATATATATATAAGGATATCATCAATTCACTGATTGTGGATTAGGTTTAGTTGAAATCTGGAAGGTTGCTACTGATTGTTAATTATTATCTAGTGTCTATTCATATCTAGATACACTAATAATATATTTGTTCTTGAGCTTTTTACCAACGAAAAACTAGTTTCCTTCCTTAAACTATACCGTAACAATAATACTAGATGAATGATGATAATAGCTTCAATGATATTGAAATCAAGAAAAATACAAGTGCATTGAAAGATATTATAAATGGTTCAATTGCTGGCTGCTTTGGAAAAATTATAGAATATCCCTTTGATACAATTAAAGTTAGATTACAAACACAAGGATCCCATTTATTTCCAACTACATGGTCATGTATCAAATATACTTTTAAGAATGAAGGTATTAAAAAGGGATTCTTTCAAGGTATATCATCTCCATTAGTAGGTGCTGCAATGGAAAATGCTGTACTATTCCTTTCGTACAATCAATGTGCAAAAATGTTGGACAATCAAACGTATATTCCTGAAGTGACCCCATTGACAAAGATTATAATATCAGGTGCATTTGCTGGGTCTTGTGCTAGCTTTGTATTGACCCCAGTTGAACTAGTTAAATGTAAATTACAAATTGCCAATATTCAAAACAATTCATCTTCACTATTAAAACCTACAAGAATATTACCAACAATTAAAAATACTCTAACTCAAAATGGTGTCTTTGGACTATGGCAAGGTCAATCGGGTACATTTATTCGTGAAAGTATTGGTGGTGTTGCATGGTTTGCAACATATGAATTAATGAAAGATTTTTTAAAATATCAACGTCATGATAAAGAAAACAAAACTTGGGAATTGCTACTGAGTGGTGCAAGTGCGGGTTTAGCTTTTAACGCAACAATATTTCCAGTAGATACAGTCAAATCAGTAATGCAAACTGAACATTTAGGCTTAAAATCATCTATATCACTTGTGCTTAAAAGACAAGGTTTCGCGGGTTTCTATAGAGGTTTAGCAATTACTTTAATCAGGGCAGCCCCAGCAAACGCAACTGTGTTTTACACTTACGAAACATTATCATCTATGTAAATATAGTAATGTGTATTTTGGTAGATAGATTATATATGCATTCAACTTCTATTAGACATGACTTATTTAAAGCTTCTCATCTTCTAGACACAATATAATTAATGCTCTCTATTAAGTTTTTCAGAATACCTGCGCAATAAAATATTTCTTGATGATTTAAAAAAATAATCAGTATTTATTTATAAAGTAGATTTAAAATTGAAAGGTACTAGTAAACAGGACGGTTTCCTATAAATACACAAGATCAACAAATCATGTCATTGAATCCATTTAAGTCTTTAGCGTATGTTGTTTTTTCACTCAATATTTGGCTTGATATAGCCCATAGTTTATCTTTACAAGAAATATATCCATCCTTTCCGACAACTAACAATATTTTATTAAATCTTGTTCAACTATAATCCTAAAGTTGTAAGAGCAGCAGGGTTTTGATCCAGTAAAACTACATTTGCACTAACAGTTAGTGGCCTAGGGGTTTTGATGCTAGTAAAAGATAATATTAGAAGCAAAAGAGAAGCCAGTTTCTCTACAGATGCAACAGCAACTGGCAAGAAGTCTGGTCAAAGTTACTATGACAATTATGCCCAAATTAAACCAGGTTTTCCATTACCAAAAGAACATACAGAAAATATAGATTCAGAACAATCAGTTTCTCCTGTCAGAAAAAGCAAATACGAGGGTGCTGGTAATAGTTACATGAGCAGAAAGAGAGGTGACAAATTAGGTTTCTTAGACAGGAAGAATAATGAATAGAAATAATAATTAAATGTTCTCTGTCTCTGAGCAAAAGTTAAAAACCAAAGATATTAATAATTCCGAATTTACCTGTCCATAGTACCCTTTACATAATTTAATAAAACTTCAATAACGAATATTCTAAATCAAATAAAAAATTTATTTCATAGCACAACATATCTCTTGGATATTTTAAATATTACTTAATGTGAAAACACTCGTAGGGTTATATAGAATTACAAAAACTGATTATACACTAGCCCGCTTTAATCTTTCTTTTCTTCGAAGTAATCAGCCATTTCCTTGTCCAAATCTTCTAGACTTTTCTTGACAGGTCTTTGTTTCTTATTTTGATTACGTTTCTTGGCAGCAGCTGCTTTCATGTTTGGTGCTCTTGGTCTAGCAACATTATTATTGTTGTTATTGTTGTTACGGTTTACTGGACCTCTACGTTGTTGTTGTTGTGGCTGTCTTTGAGGTTGTCTTTGAGGTTGTCTAGGATGTGGAACAGCCTTAATTCTTTCAGTTAAACTCTTAACTGGTTGTTGAGATGGGTCAATGATCAAATTCAACTTTAATCTAGTTCTACCACCATCGATTGGGGCACCATTGAACTTAGCAACAGCTTTCTTGGCCATTTCACCGTTCTTGAAAGTAATATTAGCCATACCAGTAGAGTTACCTCTTTCATTGTAACTCAACAAGACTCTTTGAACACCACCGACTTGAGAAGCAAAAAATTCCTAAAATATAAAAATAAGGTTTGTTAGAAAAATGAACACAAAATAAAGATAAATTATAACAATGGAACAAAAATATCCTTCCCTTCAGGTAACAGTTAAGTGTAAAATTAGAATAGCTAAAATTTACCGCTGCTGATAAGGTTGAAGTACTATATCAAATTCTGGGATACCAAATGATAACTCGGAGCTAACATAAGAAGACTGCATAGCTAGCATGTCAAATATAATCATTAGCAGCTATATTTTCATATCAAGAAGCTACTGTTGAAGAAACTTCTCAAAATGTCAAACAGTATATTATAGTGGGTTAAATTCCCCTCTGGAAGATTACAAACCTAATCGATCCTCCTAATAACCCAATATACTAGTTGATAGGTGGTGTGTTGAAGAAAACAGTTTAATGACAGAATAAAATTTCTTTTACTGATTGGTTATGACTTTATCATTGTATACAAAAACCAGAATTTTGAGAAAATTATCAGAACAATCTCAAGCTATAATAATAAACACTGTCAAAAAACGTTAATAACCTCGACACATTACACTTTATAACGTCAAACCTTTATCTCAGACATAAAAATAAATTTAGATCGAAAACATTTGCGTCTTACCCAATACAAATATTAATACTTCAATAAATTGGACTGAAGAAAAAAATACTAATACTAAGGAATCTGATTTCTAAATCTAATTAGAACACTCACACTATTCATAACTTCTGTACCATTGTTAAATTTAAATTTAGAAGTAAAATGCCGGCAGTAACCTACTATAAAATAGCTGTATCCACACAGCTACCATAGAATTACAATAATTTCAAAAAGAGCATAATCTCTCTTTGAAGCCGCAAGTGCAAATACTTCCTAATACAAATAAAAAGAACATACTCTAACTGCATCTTGTTTAATATCTCTTGGTAAACCTTCAACATTAACTCTAGCTTCTCTTGAGTTTTGCAACAAAGAAGCAACTCTTTGAGCAGCATTAACCGGAGCTGGAGCTGGTCTAGCTCTAGTTCTAGCAACTCTAGCTGGAACACCACGACGAGCAGTAACTTGCTTAGAAGCTCTTGAAGGAGCAGCACCACGACGGTTATTAATTCTAGCTCTGTTTTGATTCTTACGAGAACCAATAATTTCGTCTAAGGATTTATCTAAAGTAGCAGACATTGTAATATGATATTATAATATACTTTCGTTAGAAAGAAGGTTACCAGAGGGGAGAGGTAATTAAACAGAGGATAGAATCGAGTTTAAAATATTCAAAAATTATGTATAAATTAGAAACTCTATTCTAAAATAACACACAATCAGATATTAACTTCAAAGTTGGGTTTTTTACATATAATAAGAGGAAATAAGTTAAGGAAAAACGACAAATAAACAAGGATTAATCACTACAAAATAACTTTATGTAACTAGAATTGGGAGTTAGTTAAAAAAGAATGAAAATTTTCCTCTCAAAGTCCATTCCCTTTTATACTTTTCGAAAATCTTTGGAAAAATTTTTCTTTTTCTGTTTTAGGGAAATATACACTGAAACTAGGATATTTGCCGAAAACGGTAACAGGGACTACTAAACACCGGGTAACACAAATATACGGATAGTAATGAATCAGTTAAAGTGGTCTTAACTATATATATAAAACAGTGATTTTATAACTAATTTACCTTAATGATATGTCTATCTGATTAAAATGTTATTTAAATATATGATTATCTGATTATGTATGAAATTTATAAAATGTTACAGTATGTTCTCCGATTGATGAAATTAGCTTTTGTTTGCATGCTTTACGGCTCTAACCATGAAATCGGTTAAAATCTTTGGCATATCCATGATACCCAAAGTAACTTCTACAAAGTTGATATTATTTTGGTCTTTGGATCGTAGTTCTGTAAGTATATTATCCAATTCTTTTGTTGTTTCAACTTTATGGTTTTTAGCAAAATTTTCCTTGGCGTCACCAAATGCTTTGAACAGATAAGTCCAATTCCAAGGTTGAATATCGTTATAGGAACGAGTTGGGCCCTGGATAGCTCTTTCAATTGTGTAACCATCGTTGTTCCATAAGAATATATCCATTGGGACTTCATAACGAAGCATTGTAGATAGTTCCTGTACTGTCATTTGCGCAGCACCGTCACCTTCGAATAGGATTAATCTTGGTTTAGTATTTTCCTTTAGTTGTTCATCTTTGATGTGAGAATTCGGATAATCTCTCATGGCGATACCAACACCTAAAGCAGAAGGTAAAGCATAACCAATGGATAAGTAAAAAAATTGAGAGACCAATTTAACTTGAGAACTAAATTTGAAATCACGTAAAGAGAATTGGAAAGTACCAGTATCGCATAGAACAACATCACCAGGCTTGATATATGATTCCATTGTAGTAGAAATGTGGTCTTGGGTAATTTGGTTGTTTGCAACAGCTTCTTGATCCGTTTTTGTTGAACTTTCATCAGATGTTGGATAGTTCAAGTGTAAATTTGATGGATTAACCATTTTCAACATTCTCTTCAATATATATGTGAATTCCACACCACCGAACAATTGTGTACTTTTGGATTGCATATCAATCATCCTTATATATTGAGGATGGAACTCTATTATGAAACTAACTTTCGAATAATAATCTTCAAAAGTGTAAGTTCCTGAGTTAACCTCATTTTTTTCAACACCGAAATGTAATATTAAATCACAAGTTGAAATTGCCTTTTGAACTTTTTCACAACCATCTTTACCGTTGTAAACACCTTTATAAGTTTCAGTTGACTCATCGAGAATAGATTTCCCCATTAGAGTAGAAAAATTCCAAATGTTTGTCTTTTGTATGAATTCATTTAGTAAAGAAGAACCGGAATATCTGTCGGTTAAAGTATCAGCGATGATGGCAGGTTTTTCCGCATGATACAAATAGCTAAATATAAAATCAGTTAAACCATCTGCCATTTCCATCTTATCAGGGGACATAGTAATACAATCTTGTAATGTAATTGATGGAGTTTCGTATAAATTCTTTGGATTAACATATAATTTAAAATAGTTTTCTGGAACAAACATATAACCAGGTTTTGAATATTTATAGATATCCCTAATTAAATCATCAAATTCCTGGCATGCAGTATCTAAATTTTCAATAAATTTAGTTGAACAAGAGACTGAACCCTGGACCATTTCAGCAAAAACTTTATAATTTGGTTTATTTAAATTTGATTCTTTAAAATTTGGTAATAGATGATGAAAGTTCCCACCAGTTTTAAATTTTTCAGTAGATGGAATACCTACAATATGTAGAACTTTAACATGTTCTGCAAAGGAACCTGAGATACCGTTCATTGCGCTTAACTCACCTACACCACAAGTGGTTACAATACAACCTAATTTGTTTGTATATCTAGAATAACCGTCTGCAGCATAAGCAGCGTTTAACTCATTGCAACAACCGATCCAATTGATTTCAGAGGTTTTATTAGCGGTACCGTTTGGGTACATTAATTCCAATAAATTTAAGTTATAATCACCCGGAACACCGAATATGGACTTGGTACCGCATGAATTTAATCTTTTGAAGATATAATCACCGAAACGTAGGGATTTATCGTTATTCAACATTTCATTACTCGAACTATATGTAGGTCTATGAGTGATAACAGGGGCCATGACTATAGTAAACTATATCTAAGTGTTTGTTGTATGTGTGTGTGTCTGTGTTTTAATTTTTTCCAATCGACTGAACTATATAGATAAATGAAATATATCTTTACGTAAAGATAGAAATCAAAATAAAGCAAGAGTTTGGAAGAGTGGGATGCATTTATATATATATATCAGAAACTAGACCAAGTATGACTTGGTATCAGAACATTTACAAAATATGTTGTAAGGAAACGCTGACACCATTTCTATTTATACTAACCGTCTGTAAGATGGAGAGATAAGCAGAAAGCTACATAGATAGATAGATAGATAGATAGATAGCAAGACTTGTGGATAAATGCTTTAGATAAATGAAAAGATAGAAAGAAGAGTGAGTTCCGAATATTGGTTCTACTAGCGAGATTCTCTAGAATATACAAAAATACCTGGCAACGTCATAGAATATTTCCTTGGTTGGTTAGTTAACCTTTATTTTTTTATTTTTTTTATATATCATGATGATTCCAGTTCACTGCATTTCGCTGCAGTGCAGAAAGATTAAGAAATTTTCCATGCGGTGCAATTTTGAGTTCGGTGAGGTTGCTTCTTGATCTCGAGGGCGGTTGGTGTTAAACAAAAAAAAAGTATTAAGTTTCTTTTTACTTTATTTTTTTATGTCTCTTCTTGTAATGCTTATTTTTCTCCCACTTTAGCGTTTTGCCGAGCTTTCTCAGAGGAGCTGGCTGGTTTGCTTCGAATTTTTTCCTTGTTCGGGTTCCTTTTTTTTTTCTTTTTATTCTCTTCTTATTTCGACGTTTCTTTTTGTGCTTTTTGTGTTTTGTCAATGTTACCTATTTTTTCATTTTTTGGGTTCGCTTCGGTACGGTACCGAGAAAAAAAGGCAACGTTTGTACGGGGAGAACTCAGCAAGGTCCAGCGGAGCGGGAGCGGAGAGGCTAGGAAAGGAAAGCGGTTGATATGGTATGATATGATATGTATGCGTTAGGTGCGGAGAGGGTTCTACAAAGAATTGTATGGGGAGATATGGCAAGAGAACGTGATTCCTGATTGTTATGCCATAGTGGTGTGGTACGGTGTGGTGTCGTGCGGTATATTTTCAGTACAGTAGCTGTAAGTATTTACGGTGGAAGGTAAACTTTATTTGAGCGCGTGTAGCCGTTGAGAAACGCTGGTGGGGGGGGAATAACAGAAGAGGAATACTACGAAAGAGCGTAGTTCTCGGTAGGTTGCGGCAGGTTAATTACGGTTCTTGTCGGCTGTCGACGGTCTCGGAAACCCGAAGATACCCATCCTGTTGTATCCGTATTTCTGTCTATCTCCATCTTATTGTTTAAGGTTTTTTTATTTTTTTCATTTTGGGTAATTAACTTTTAGTAATTGTGATATTGGCTGCCTTTTAAATTTTTTTAGCTTTTTAGAATTGTTTTACCTTGTTGCGCCGTATAGTGAGTGGTAGGGTAACGTTTGACCTGTTATATTAAAGTAATCACTGGCGCTTAACCAACGGCTCCTTTTACAGAAAAAATTCCCTTAATTTTGTTGCCAACAAAACTAGGTTGGGATGTTTTATTTTGTAGCCGATGCTCATGCACATCATGAAAAATTCCACTAGTCACGGAAATGAGAATGTATATATGTGTGTTATACAGACTCCTTTTATTTTGGTCTGTGTTGTCAAATATACTTTGAGGCTTGGTTTTGTCTGTCTTGACCTGAGTGTAGACTAAGTTACATATTAAAAATTGATGCTCTTTACCCGGACTCGACGCTAGCAATTCGGATATGTCTCGGAGTCGTTCAATGTTACCCGGATATTATCTCCCTTTTCCCGAACTTGTTACTTAAATTTGCGAAATCATATAACGATTCAAATACGAATTATTGTTAAGGTTAACCTTACCATTACAATATCAAGCAATAAATATATATATCAACACTTCGAACTAACCCCTACTCTAATTCATAAAACAAGTCATTTTTTCTACCGTACCTAAATATTGAAGTTTGATAGAATACAGTAATAGGCATAATGGTGAGAAAATTGAGCGGTTTACAAAGAGAGGTAGTCCATCTTTATAGAAGTTGCATTCGAATGGCACATACAAAACCCATTGAAAATAGACCACATTTTATAAAGTATATACATTCGGAATTTGGTAAATATAAAGATATACCAAGAAAAGATTTTACCACTATTGAACATCTTTTAAGAATTGGTTCTAAAAAATTACAAGAATTTTCGAAAAATGAGGTGAAGGATATAAGGTAATTTTATTTATTTTCATCTCAATTAATATTTATCATGTGTTTTTTTATCACTCAGAATCGTTTATTTATCTTCGTGTATATTTATTGTTATATACTCCTATGCATTTATTCATTGTCAATAGTCTTTCTTAAGTTACATGCATAATATATATATATTTAAATATATATATTTATTAAAAAGAAATATGGAGCGCGCGTAAAACAAACTTTTCTTGAATTAGTTTGTCATCGGATTGTCCTTGTCACTCCCTTTCATAAAGATTCGAAAAACTTAATTATGGGTATCTATAGTAAAAAAATGCTTTTATGGTTCTTGATAATGAATTCAACGATATAATTGCGTAACTTCATGTCAATTATATCTTTCTCTCCCGTCACGTCGTGTATTAATCCAGGTGCAAACACAAGTGCCAAATTGTACACTGTCATCAAATTATACTCGTGATAATTGGCAACAGTAGACAAATGTTGGGATAATACCTTTAATAAATCAAAATGCTCAATAGGTATACCTGCTAGAATACTGTTGATTGATAGGACAGTTTGCTTAAATGAAGGATGATCCATCTGGTCCTCATTATTAGGTAGTTGGGCCATTAAATCATTATCCCTTACCAATTTCATCAAGGGTTCATATATCTGGTAGGTAATCACAGGATTGGGTAATCTTCTTAAATATCTCTTTAAAACACTGGCCACAGCATGGACATCACGAAGTAATAACTCGTCCAATGCATCAGAAATATCATGAAGGTTTCTTACATTACAAAACTCCTTTTCTATTTCTTCGATTAATAATTGTGACCCTGTCTTCCTATATATACCTTCAGTTCTTAGATTTGTCTCATTCTTTTCAATAATGCTAAAACAGGTAGTGATAATTAAAGGTATCTCAGTACCTTCATAAGCACATCTTTTTACTAAAGATGACCCAAACAATAGCTCACCGTTATCAGAACTTAATGACGACTGGTGTGATGGAGAAGCACGCAAAGAAGAAGAAATTAGCGCACTATCATTTAAATCCATTTGTGACTTTTGCATTGACGACACCAGATCTAATTTGTTTTCAATTGGGCCAATTCCTGAAGAAACTGAGCCCCGACTAACTGAATGCTTTCTTTGAATTTGAAATTTGGGAGACATTTGCATGTTAGGTGTTTGCTGCGGTGATAAATTCTGGTTTGAACTACCACTAGAAAAAATCTTCCAAAATTTACCTTTTGAAGATGAGTTCGGAAGATTAGTTGGATCAGATGCATTGATTTGTTTTCTTGGTGTAGTTCCTGTTCCTGCTTGAGAATATGTAGATTTGTTGTCCGCAAAGTCATCGCCGTTATAAGCTTCTGGTATCAACGACTCTTTTTCAAATTTTAATTCTCTAATCTCGTTCAAAATCTTATCTTTGCTGATCTTCAACATTTCCAATTCTTTTGTTAGTCTCACTTTGCTTGCTTCTAATTCTCTCAATTCCATCTTTAGTCTTCTCAAACCAAATTCCATCTCAATGTTATCATTTCTTGGCATAGAATCTGGTGAGACAGGATCTATCATCTTGTGATCATCTACTGATAACAATTTTCCGTTACTTATCTCTTCTTCCTTAACTACATGTTCGATCCCTTGTAAACTTGATTTTCTATAATGATGTCCAGATGATGATGGCGTTGCTGTCATTCTGTTAAAAGAATTTGATGTTTCTAAAGGCGGGGTACAATACATGGCAATATTATTGGACTGTAATGGTGCGCTTAATGGAGTAGCACCGCTATTAGATCTTTTGTGAGGTAATGAATCACCAGTGATATCATTTTTTGAATTATTTCCAAAGCTTTCCTTGGCATGAGAATAAATAGTACTATCACTCTTACCCCTATTACTAGTTTGACGTGATTGAGGAGGTGTGGTATTGAAGTGTTTGGACCTTTCCTTTTTAGAAGTCACACCCCAACCTGAATGTGTTTCAATATCATCAACTTCCTTCTTATCTGAATGGGATGATGAATTTGAAGGTTGTTTTGACAACAAATTTGCTTTCTTTAAATTTGAAACAAGATTCCTAGAGACTAATGACAATGATCTGCCAACTTTTTTTCCATTAGTTGATTCTGTGCTGTGAACTTTTGAAAGAGATCCAGAATTCGGTAGAGTGAGAACTTTATCTTCATCATTTTCTGGTAGAGGTAATTGGGATGGAGGTTGAACTGGAGACCCCCTTTTATAATTAAAGTTTAAAGGATCCAGTGATGGAGGAAGTTTCAAGCCAAGACCATTTGAATCCTGGCTGGGAGTTTTCTTATGCTGTTCTAATGCTATATTCATAGGACTATTTAAGGGAGCATTTGTAAGATCGACACTATTCTTCGGTGTCCTCATGTTGTTAATTGGTGGATTCTCTTCATTTTGTTCTACAGCTTCCTGATCAACGATTATTCCATGTCTTTTGGGCGATTTTAATAACAACTCTTCATTACTGTGTGCACTGCTTGTTAAATCAAACTCTGGCGGATGATTTTGTAAAGGTGTTTTTTCTAAAGCATTTTTATTAACTGAAGCACTTTTATTAATTGAAGCATTTCGGATATGCTTACGTAAGTTAGCTTCTTTAGCATCTGTATCAAAGTTGTCCAACGTTGAGTTAAGTATATCATCAATCGAAACAGTTCTCGAATGACCAGTGCTTTGGTTATCTGATTCATCAAAATCTGTATCTTTAGATATGTACTGTGGGATAACACTTTCGGAGTTCGATTTTACATGTTTTTTATTATATTGGAAATTTATTTCTGGAGATGATTCATCTCTATCGTCGTATTTTCTTTGAGGTGAAACTGGTCTCCTGGTTGATCTTTTAGGTACCGCTAAAGTTGCAGACCTTTCAATAGTTCCGGATTTCCTCATCGTTTGTCCTCTATCGAATTCATCAGTCTTCTTAGGAGATATTAATTTTGGCTCTTCTAATGATTTTTTCCTTGCTAGAAGAAGTTTATGGCAATTATAACAAAATAATCCAGCCTTACTCTTTGCATATTTCAGATCATCTATATCTTTATGGCATTTTACACACCTGAAACAGTCTCTGCAATACGACTCGTCGTTTGATAGAATTATTGCTGTATCATGAATATTTTTATTACAATTACTACATTTATAATTTGAACAATCAGAACATATTAAAGAGTTCTTCGAATTATTCATTCTTAAAAAGCTTGAATCCTTTGATAATTTTTTCTCACACTTGTAGCACTTAAAGCAATGAATATGCCATTTATCTTCTCCTATTTTAAAATAATTATCATCTATTATATCTTCTTTGCAACTAGCACAGACCATTGTCATGTCCTGATCGATAGTATCTGACATTGTGTCTTGTTAGGCACCTTCAACGCTTTTTTATAATTTAAAAAACGTTTATAAATAATATATTCTTTAATTATAGGCAACAACCTTAAGTTACCCATTCTTTTTTTTTACAATGGGCAAAATTTTAAACATTTTTCATAAAGTTCTATATTTCCCTTTACAATCAGAAACTTTACTGAATATCGAAAATTTTTGGGTAAAAAATGATATTTCTGCAGCGGAGAGAAGTTAGATACTGACTTTTTAATTTATTTTTTTCGAAAAAAGTGTATTCAAAAACGATATTGGAAATATTTCTTAAAATAGATGTTGTAGGGCACAGTAGAGTTCAACTTAAGGGGAGTTTTGGTGATATAACTATGTTTAGATAATCTTTAAAGTTACACACTATTGTGATCAAAAAAACAATTTAAAATTGAACCAAAAATATGTAGAAAAGATGAAACAAGAATGAGATATCAGAACCAATAAAGAAAAAAAAGGAAAGAAACACTATTTTTCCTTGAACTAAATACCAGAGCCACTGGGGGGGAACTCCATATGTCATAAACAAGAAAACAAATGATATATCAATTGCATTGCATTTTAGGTAAAACATAGAAATTGAATTATTTCAAAATTCGAAGGCAGCACCGTAACATCTTTTTTTCTTTTTTCGTGGCCTTGTCTCAAGTGCATTCCAACTGATAAATTTGACATACCCTCCGGTTCAAACTCAATTTTTGAATATTGCATTCAAAGGAGATAAAACAAATGAGAGATAGTACAAACAGTTTTATTAGTATTACTCCATATGCATGTTTGTAAACACCACCGTGATTCAACCAAAAACGTAATTAAATTGAATTGTTAACAATATTAATATTTAAAAGAGTTCACTATCTTATAGTATAGCCGCCAGAACCATTTTATTCAATATAATATAGCTGAGAGGAATTGGTAATTAATCCTTCATATAATTCTTAAAACTTTAAATTCCAGGCAACAGTACCATCACTAGGTATTGTGATTTAGAGTCATCGAAGATCTTGAACTGCAGTTATCTTAATTTAAGAGTTTAGTATTCAATTACTTCTAATGTTGTTTAATTTAAATACTTGAAAATCTCATTTAATTTGTGTCCTGCCTTTTAGATAAAATGTCTTTTATTATTAGTCTTAAATCGCTAAAGTCACATGGTCCGGGTAATATCATATTATTTTCAAATGATTTAAAATTTAAAGCTTTGATATTTTAAAGTGAACAGGAACTATAAGAGAACTTGTACTAATGAAGTTATGGTTGATTTGATGATAATTTAATAGGTTATTTCAACTTGTTTACAAGGGTACTCATTCTGAGTTAATATATTTGAAGGATGTCAGCAGCTCAGTCCGGGACCACTAGTGTCTCTACACAATTTTTAGCAAACATCATTGGTAAGCCGGTTAGTGTAAAATTATATTCTGGTATGATGTATAAGGGTAAATTAGAATCTATAGATGGTTTCATGAACGTTGCTCTTTCGAACACCTCAGAACATTTTGAAAGCAATGCTCATATGTTGAAGAGATATGAAAATGACGTCTTCTTGAGAGGTACTCAAGTTATGTACATTAGTGAAGCTTAAATTAATGAAACAGAAGATAAGAAAAAAACAAAAAACACAAATATGAAAACAAAAACATAATATACGTATATATTACCAAGCTATTTGTAATTATTTATGGCATTGGATTGTGAGTACCTGGTTATTCCATTTGTTACTTGTTAATTGGTAAGACATGTAATTGTACAGATAAAATATAGATTAATAGATAAATACATATATTAAAAAGAAATAAACGATAATAATAGTAATATGATAGTATTAATGTTAAAATCAATAATATATCTCTTTCCATGTAATTTTCATTTTAGTTCCAAGGTTTGTACGCGCTTGGATAGATTTTATATTAACAGATGAGGTATCCCTTTAAAAGAGAATTGTTTGTATTGTTTAATACATTATATGCAATTGAACTCCAATCTTACTTTAAGACTTCGTTCTTCTTGAATTCAATTATGTTTGTACATGGAATCGGATGTCAGGAATTTCTCCCTTGGCTTTCCACTTTGCTTACCCTTATCCAATTCTCTCTTATTTATCTCTTCCCAATCTTTCCAGGTAGTATGTGGAATATTGGTCACATCAATTGGTTGAGAATTTGTCGTGGAATCATTTTTGCTTAAATCTGCTATCACTGTATCTGCGACATTAAAGGCATTCATCATTGTCGAAACTATCACACCTTGACTACCAGATTGGATCCATCCAGTGGCATATAATCTTGGGAAGGCAACATCAGATGTAGATAAAACTCGGTTATCTTTTGTGATCACTCTATCCTTGTTAAATTTTATGTTCAACGAAGAAAACTCCTTCATTGGTTTCCCTGCATAACCGATAGATGTTATAAGCAAATCTAAGCCGTAAACTATATCACTTTTCGATGTATCGTCGACCAGCTTGTTCTCATCTGTTAACAGCTGGTTGCGAACAGTCAATTGTTTAATATTACCATTGGCATCTTTATCGATCTTTATCGGTGCCTTAAGATAATCCAATTCCCAGGTTCTCGTGCTCCCATCTAAGGTAAGCTCCAATGGCTCATATTTCTTATAACTTGCCTTTGTTCTTTCAGAAAAATCCTTCATATACTCTGAACAGATCTCAATTCTTCTTTTAAGAGCACGATCATTAATTGAGCTAAACTTACTTACGTCAAAGAATTCTGATGAAATACTACCACGAATTCCATATCTTTCTAAAGCCCACAATTCTCTTAATTCTTTATTAGTGAATTTTGAATGGATAAAATCTCTTCTCCCTATGATTTTGACATTAGATATTGGTGCCTTTTGTAATAAAGATATTGCAACTGGGTTTATATCAGTTTTTTTCCAAATCTCATCAATTTTATTACTTAAAAGAACACGAGATATGTCCAATGCAACATTACCATTACCAATTATCCCAACTTTCGATACATGAGACCAATCAAAATCCATAAATTTTGGATTTAATGCATAATCAGGATGCCCATTGTACCAACTAACAAATTCTCTACTTGTAAATACACCTTTTGTATCAGATTCACCTGGAATATTCAATTTATGCTCACCAGAACTACCGTAACTCAAAATCACAGCATCTTGTTCGGATATCAATTTCTGTAAAGATATCTGTTCACCGATTGTAATGCCACCAATAAATTCAAATTTATGTAAACCATTATTTTGAATATTCTCTTCAGCACATTGAGTAAAAGTTTCTTCACAATTCTTCACTTCTGGATGATCTGGAGCAACACCATATCTACTCAATCCAAATGGTACAGGTAGCTTCTCCCATATGGTTACATGTAATGGTATTTTTGATTTCTTTAATAAATGATAAGCAGTATAGAAGCCAGATGGACCTGATCCAATTATAGAGACCCTTTTTCGTGGAATATTTGTAGTTAACGTTCGAATATTCATCATTGATAACCTCTAAAGACCTTTCAAATCAAACTATCATTCATTATCATCTCCATTTTTCAATAATAATGAGTAAACGAATATTATAGTTCATTTAACTTAATCCGGAGTCCTCTTTGACATAAGAATGATTCCTACTCTTTTTTGTCTATTTATTGATGAATAGACCGTTTAAGATGTACATAATTGTAGTAATGCAAGAGAACTTGGTAGTTTAAAATAAGTGAAGTGTATTCAATTGAGGCATTAATTGTAAGAACACAGAAGAATACATTGTCCAGAGACACTGTGAATGATGTTAATAAAATTACCAATGTTGCTCGACCTTGGTTCCTTAATTAGAAAAGAAAGGGGGTGGGGGATGGGGGGTTACCGTATTTTACGAAAGTAGTTTCTAAATTATAAAGATCTTTATATAAAATTGATAGTACACGTAATTCATAATTCGTAATTCGTAAGTATGCCTTGTTTCGAATCGTTTTGGTTTGGATAGTTATTTTCCAAATAATTTGGAAAGCTATCAGAACGATCAGCCTAGGAAGGAGAAATTCCAAAAAAAGGTGTGCCTAAGCAGTACCAGCAAGCTCCTATCTCCATGGTGAAAAATAATAACGCCATTAAGAAAACAGTATTTTAATCTATATAAAATATGGATATTTAAGTAAACTTAGATATGGATTTAGTTGTTAAGAAGTAATTGATATGTTTAATTGAAGTTAGAACAAAGCAGTTGGCATAATTAAGCAAGATGAGTTTACAGTACAAGAAATTTTTATTATTTGGTGATTCAATTACTGAATTTTCATTCAATTCAGGAATGGTTGAAGATGTTGAATCATTTTCATTTGGTTCAGCATTAACCAATGTCTATACTAGGAAAATGGATATTATGCAAAGAGGGTTCTCTGGGTATAATTCTAGATGGGCCTTAAAAATTTTACCTAAGATTCTTGAAACAGAAGCTAATTCTAACATTGCTATGGGATTCATCTTTTTTGGTGCTAATGATTCATGTCTAGGTGGTCATCAAAGGGTTCCTCTTGAAGAATTTGTAGAAAACATTACAAAGCTGGTTCAAATGATGAAATCAAGTGGGATCAAGACCATTTTGATCGGTCCAGGACTATACGACAAGGAGAAATGGGAATCCATAAAACCAGATGATATAGCTGAAGGCCGTGTACGTTCACAAGAAGAATTTAAGAAATATTCAGATGCAGGAGAAGCCATTGCCAAAGCTGAAAATGTACCATTTGTAAATTTAAACAAAGCTTTTAGAGAACAAGGTGGAGACAAATGGCAAGATTTAATGATGGACGGTATCCATTTTTCAGGTAAAGGTAGTTTAATATTCTACAATGAATTGTTAAAGACAATTCGTGAAAATTATCCAGAATACGCACCAGAAAATATAGAATACAAATTACCAAATTGGAGTGATGTTAAACCAGATGGATCCAATATCAACTAGTTCTGGAACCTAATTTATCTCAATTTAGTACTAGTTAAGTAAGTATCTTTATCTTAAATAGGGTATAAAGATATACACACATACATAATAACATACATATATTAAAAGAAAGTTAGAATGTGCAATACTTTTGCACGAAAAGATGGATTCGTATTTTAAATGATTGAATAAAACCTGCGAAGAGAAGGAAACAACGATTGATATTAATTTGAAAAGATATCTATATGTGTGTAAGTATGAGTATATATAAGATATGGATGAGGGTTATCTCTCAATTGTGCTCAACACAAGGGATATCTTGAATACTGTCAATATTGTGATATTTTAATAGGCCCAGCTCCTCCCCACCCGATTGATTGAAGAAAGATGTCTGATGAACCAGTAGCTGTTGCGGCCAACACTGCTGTTGGGACAGAATCTATTTCACTTGGAGATAAGTTTTCCAATTTTATGAGCAATGCTATGGAGAACAATCCATATTTTGCAGCAGGTGGTGGATTGATGTTGCTTGGTACTGGGCTAGCGGTGGCTAAAACCGGGATGGTCAAAGGTAGCAGATTGTTGTACCAACAGATGATAGTTGATCTTGAGATACAATCTAAAGATCGAGCATATTCATGGTTTTTGACATGGATGTCTCAGTATCCCAAGAGGGTCTCTAAGCATTTGTCAGTGAGGACAAATTACATTCAACACGATAATGGATCGGTAAGTACTAAATTTGATTTGGTGCCGGGACCAGGTAACCATTGGATTCGGTACAAAGGAGCCTTTATCCTGATCAAAAGAGAGAGGTCCACTAGGATGCTAGACATCAGTAATGGGTCGCCATACGAGACAGTTACGCTAAAGACGCTATATCGAGACCGTGATCTGTTTGACTCTATATTGAGAGAAGCTAAAGAGATGGCGTTGAAGACGAGCGAGGGTAAGACAGTGATCTACACATCGTTTGGACCTGAATGGCGTAGGTTTGGACAACCTAAAGCCAAGAGATCCTTGCCATCGGTGATACTTGATAAGAATATCAAAGACAATATAATGAAGGATGTTCATGATTTTTTGAAAAATGGGAAATGGTACTCAGACCGAGGAATACCGTACAGAAGAGGGTATCTGTTATATGGGCCGCCTGGATCAGGTAAGACTAGTTTTATCCAGGCGTTAGCAGGTGAACTTGATTATAACATATGTATATTGAATTTATCCGAGAACAATCTTACGGACGATCGATTAAACCATTTGATGAACAATTTACCACAACGGAGCATACTGTTGTTGGAAGATATAGATGCGGCATTCAACAAACGTCATCAAACGTCTGAACAAGGGTTTCAATCTAATGTGACGTTTAGTGGGTTGCTGAATGCGTTGGATGGGGTGACTTCATCGGAAGAGACGATAACGTTCATGACGACGAACCATCCTGAGAGGTTAGATTCTGCGATACTGAGACCTGGTCGAGTGGATTATAAAGTGTTTGTTGGTGATGCCACGAAATACCAAGTGAGGGAGATGTTTTTGAAGTTTTACCCTGACGAGAGGTTGTTATGCGAGGCGTTTGTCAAGGAGATACTGACGTTGGACAAACCTGTGAGCACAGCACAGTTGCAAGGATTGTTTGTGATGAACAAAGACGACCCGCAATCGGCAGTGGAGATGGCGCCATACATAGCCGACCCCAACCAGTTTGCAACGCAGCGCTAACATCGACAATGGAAACTAACCGCCACACCAAACCAAACCAAACCAAAACATAACATAACATAACATAACATCAAACCGGCATTGTACATAGTGATTTAAGGATAGACAAAAATATAAGAACATACATAGAGAAGCGACTCAGCAGTTTTTTTCTGCATTGTTGCGTTGTACATAGTGACTCAAAATACAATAAACAATAAACAACAATATACAACAATACAACAATTCTAAAGAATACATACATACTCCCAGTACAGGTAGGCAGGGAGATGGACAAAGTTGTGCATTGTTGGAGAAAACAACGGGAAAGTGACAACAAGGAACACCTCCTCCCCCGACTCCACTCCACTCCACCCCACTCCCTTCCCCCTCCCCAAGAGAGAGAGAGAGAACGTGAGAAATTTGAAAGCGAGTGACTTCGTTGTTGGAGATGAGATCGGTGATGATCTCTCCCATTAGGCAGTTTTTGTTGGGACAGGGAGGAGGGGAGCCCCAGAAACACGGATGGTGTATTGGTATATTGGTACAAGTGGGCAGGGCAACGGCGGCAATTTGTTGTTCTGTTGTGGTGTTTTGACACCATTGTGACCTGACCTGACCTGACCTGACCTGACTACTTTGGGCGTGAGTATATATAGACAGCCAGACGTGTTTTATTTCCCAATGGTTTTCACGATTTAGTAGCTGTGAGTTGTATGTTTCTGTATGCCCAGGAACACTGGAGGTGGAAGTGGAAGTGGAAGTGGAAGTGGGACGTTTTGGATGCATTTAAAGGTTGGTTATGCTGTTTGGATCTAGCTGCTATGGGCAGGGCAGGTGCATCTATATATGAGGATGTGTATATATAAAGGTGGAGGTCAAGGGTGAGTTCGAGAATAAGGTGGTGGTGTCTCATGGACCTTTTGGTTTGGTTTGGTTTGGTCTTGCTTGTATATATATGTATCTCTGTATGTGTATGTGTATGTGTATGTGTATGTGTATGTGTATGTGTATGTGTATGTGTTTATGTGTTGTAAATTAATTTGGCATTAGATTACATTAGGTTAACTTAAGTTTAGTTTGATTTGGGACTGTAGATTATATGTGCATGCACAAACGCACATAATACTAAAAGATAAAGATGCAATCCGTAGGTTACTCGGTGAGAACAATAGAGGACTCGTTGCGTGAGTTGGAAGGGTTGATAGGTTCTGGCAGTGGAAGGAGTTGCTCTAGAGACAGTTCCTTGTTTGATGTCTTTCTCGGGGGGTCCGCAAGTAGCTTCAGTGGAGCTAGCCATGATCACGATTTTGCGGCCGCGGCTGGGGCTGGGGCCGCAACCGAAAATGGGCCTCTATCTACCGCCGCCACCGCATGCATGGCTTCGGCGGCTATACACAACTACGAACGTAATCGCAACCGTCTCGACCTGGGAGGTTCTGACAGTTCTGTCCCCATGTCGATGCCTGCACCCATGACGATGTCTTTGCAAACGCAAACGCAAATACAAATGCCTGTCTCAACACCTATGTCATTGTCAAATTCTTCCTGCAACTATGTGATCACGGGGGGATATACGAAAAATAATATTAATATTACTACTAATACTAATACTAATACTAATAATACCAATCATTTGGCAATAGTCGATGATACCAACAACAATATCGGCACTTCCGTACCATCCCCTGCACTCTGTGTAAATAACTTGTCACGGAGACCCCGTAGACGTTCATCAATGGCTATTGTCCCCAGATGGGTCGACGTTCCTGAAAATTCAAGGTTTTTTGTAATCAAATCTTCAAGACTCGATCATGTACAAAAATCCTTCTATAACGGGATCTGGTCTTCTACTTACTTCGGAAACAAACGTCTTTCAGAGGCTTTCTCGAGTTTGGATCCTGGTACTAAACTATTTCTATTGTTTTCTGTCAATGCATCTGGACGTTTCTGCGGTGTAGCAGAAATGGTGTCCAACTTGGAAGATGAACTAGATACTAGTATTTGGGACGACACCTCTAGAAAGTTCGGAAAGGCTTTCAAAGTAAGGTGGGTGTTGGTGAGAGACGTTCATAACAGGTCTTTGAAACATTTCCTTATTCCCGACAATGACATGAAACCAGTCACAAATTCAAGAGACACACAAGAGATCCCTTTCTCAATAGGAAACTCGATTTTAAAATTGTTCAGAGCAGACCCGGCAGCAGCACAGTCTTTCCTAGACAGTGATTACGTCTGAACATATCCCATTCTTTAGCATAGGTTCGTTAATTAACTTTACATCACTCTTCGATCGAGTGTTAATATAAATCCTTATACTGTATTATATATAGATATATATGTACATAATGTATAATAGCAACTATACAGTTTAATTCAAAAAATGAAAATATCGTGGAAATATCAAGTCCCACTTCTTCTAAATCAATAAGCTCTATCCATCAAAAGAAGTCTGTCTGTCACTTGTCACTTGTCACTTGTCATTTGTCATTTATACCATTCGTAAAAGCTTTAGTTCCTTAATACCCAAAATCACGTGATTGTACAGCTCGTTTTTCCTTATACTGGATATTCCAAAATTGAACGAACGAATTTCACAACCATAAATGATTTTAAAATGATTATTATAAAAGGAAAAAGGTATCACAAACTTAAGAAAGATAATCAATTGAAAGGTTTTTGTCTCCATTATAGGTGGATATCACATAGATCAATTGTTCTAGTTGCAAATTGAGTTGATATTAATTAGTGAATCATGCTCAGGCTTTCTTCTGTTTCCAAGGTTTATCACGTTAGACCATTTAGTGTTTTATCCTCATTAAAAGCAAGCACTGCTCCAAAGGGAGGGAATTCTCATAAGGGCAATGGTTCTCATCATGTTGAAGTCAAATGTGAAAATATGGATGAGGCTCAGAGGGCTTATTTGGATCGTGTGATCCGTGTGGATCAAGCTGGTGAACTTGGTGCTAACTATATATATGCTGGTCAAATTTTTATTCTTTCTGAGAAACATCCAAATTTAAAACCGATTTTAAATCATATGTGGGAGCAAGAGATTCACCATCACAATACATTCAATACTTTGCAATTGAAACATAGGGTCAGACCCTCCTTAATTACTCCATTCTGGAAAGCAGGTGCGTTCATCATGGGTTCAGGAACTGCTTTTATATCGCCGGAAGCTGCAATGGCTTGTACCGAAGCTGTTGAAACGGTTATCGGTGGTCATTACAATGAACAACTACGTTGTTTAAACAATCAGTATGATTTGAAGAGGACTGATGGTTCAGAAGGACAAAGTGATGAGGTGAAGTCATTAATGAGTGTTATCAAACAGTTCAGAGATGATGAATTGGAACATTTAGATACCGCAATTGCACATGATTCAAGAAAGGCGGTTCCTTATATTCTTCTTACTGAAGGTATTAAAGCGGTTTGTAGAACAGCTATCTGGACAGCTGAAAGATATTAGACACCGTTTTTGTTACACCAATTCAATTTTACGAAACTTCCTCCATCTAGTTATGGCTACATAAAACGCATCTTTTTATAAAATAAATTTAGTCTCACTCTTACGAATAATAAAAAATTGTATATATCCTATCGAAATAAAATATTTATAACATAACTGTCGTGTTTTTTGTTTGTGGTTACTCTCTTATATCTATGTATATACAGAATATGAAGTGCATAAATGATATATAGAAATTCGATGCTAAAAAAGTAAGATGCAGTTACCAGATGGCAATTCAATTAATGGAATTCTTGAATAAAACACTCGCACATTTTGGTGGTACTTAAGACAAGAGAGCGAGGAAGGGACATCGCATGGTAGGAAGTATATTATACCAATCCATCATATAAATTTAATGCACCTACAATTGAGGGATCAACTTTAGAACCTTCCCTAAACTCATCTAATGTAATATAACCGTCTTCATCTTTATCCATAATCTTGAAGATTTTTTTGACTCTCAAGTCTGGAGTAGCTTCATCTTCACTCAACTGAACCATTGAGCCCATCATCTTGTATATACTTGAGACGATAGTCAACATTTCATCGTAGGTAATATAACCGTCATGGTTCAAATCATAAAGTTGGAAGGCCCAAACCAATTTTTCCTCCAATGTACCCCTTGACGTTACACTCAAGACAGTGATAAACTCTTTAAAATCAATAGCACCATTATTATCTTTATCGAATACATTAAATACATGGTTTGCAAAATCTTCAGGATACCCAAATGGGAAGAATTGTTTATAAGTCTTGACAAAATCTTCACGAGTCAACTGGCCAGCAGGACAATCTCTAAGGAATCCCTTGTGCCATTGTTGAATCTCTCTACGATCGAAATATGTAGACTGTCTTAAACTAGTTAGATCATCCTTTGATAACTTTGATGCTTTAGCCCCCATTATTCCAGCGAATATAAAATATATGTGAGTACGTTTGAATGCGTGGATAGAATAAATTAATAAATGAATAAATAAATGAATATACCAGATTGAAACAAACACAATCTTTAAAACCCAAAACCTTACACCAACACAAGCAACAGTACGATGTATGCCTTCTACCTGGTAGACATGTACCTATTATAGCTGTTAGCTCTGTGAAAACATGTTTAAAAATAGTTCATTGTATTCATTCATTAGTTGGTGTTAATCTAATATTTGAAAAATCATCAATTCAACGTAATGCTAGATTGTACTATAAAGCATAATAGAGAAATGTTGAACAAAGGAAAAAGATAGAGTGTTTAATGAAGATATGCTAATAAGATTATTTGATATCAGTGATATGTAGGTTTACATCAGTAGGACAAGTAAGTTAACATTTATATTTTTTGGTACCATTTAAAATTGGATCAACTCGACCCAATATTTGGATGTTTCTATAAGATCAGATGAGACAATGTTCTTCTCCCATAGCATGAAAAAAAAGCATGTTTGGAATGAAATGAACCTCTCCGTAATAGCTATCTCTTACTGTATTGATATGTTACCAAATAGGCCTCTATATATATATATATTTATAGTAATCAATCAGTCAATGGTAAAGAATTACGTGTTAATGATTGAACTATTTCCAGGCAAAAAGTACAATTCATTGGCGTTGAATAGTCTTGTTTCAGATCGAATCAGAAGTATGAATGGATAGATATATATATAGAGAGATATATAGATGGGCTGTTTAGCAGTTTCATAACTGATTTGGCTTTACTTATACTTGTTCTATCTTATTACATTTGGTGTAGTCACTCTCTCTCTTTTTCAATGCACAATATAAATATATATATATTCTCACGTGACTCTTGAATCAATATTGATCACTGTTAACGACCGTATGTAGACAAAAAGTCTTTAAATCTTTAAATATCCAAAAAGTGAGAAAAAGGCTTATGGCTTTATTTTAAAACCAACTCTGATCGAATCAACTACTATGATAAAGAAGAGGTTTTATCAATTGTGAATAGATCAATTAGTTCAGGGGGACTAAGAGTTCTGTTCAGGTTTAAGGAACTCTTTTTTGTGCATTTAATAGATTAGTTTGCATTTGTTTTGGGCTGTGTTTTTTGAAATTTTTTGGGATACTTTAAGGTTCTTTTTTGAAGGAGAGACTCATTATTGAAGAGAAGGAGGATAGAATTTAAAAGTCCTTTTTGATAAAGTAGATAAAGCAAACAGTTTGAAAGAAGAGATTTGGTGGTTTACACTATTTTATATTTAGGTTGACAAATTAGTTAAGTTTGTTCTTGTTGGAATAGAAGGTTTGGTATTTATTTTATTTTATTTTTGTTTGTCCCTATTTGCATTTTTAAAAGATGTTGGAGAAAGAAGATTTGAGAGTTACTTATTCAGAAATTGGTGAACAGCCTGAAAATTCTAATGCTGTAGATCTCGAAAATGATTCAGAGGTCAATTCGTCGAGTATGGATCTGGATTCGTGCGGCGATGCTACTTCTGTCTCGTGGAAAGATGATGGGAAACAACTGTTATATCCAGATGCACGTGATCTGACACCGTTTAAAACCTCTGAAAGATTATTAGATGAAATTATGTGTTCTGTTCCTTATATTTTACTTTCTGAAAAGGATGAATCCTTTAATGAGTTTTCAAATGGTTTGTTGAAGAAACAATTGTTGAGTTACTCGAAAAGTAGACATAACGTTCAACCATTTTCAGTGGGGACCATTGTAGATCAAATCATATTGCAGACGAAATTCGAATATAAATCAACTACTTGCCCGGAATTTAATAATATATATGTTCGTTTGGGGGTTCTTATAGATACTAACCATCAGCCACTTTCTACTTTTGATGATGTCGCCGATTTGAAAATTTACCATTTGAAAATTACAGTAAAAGTTCGTTCTTTTCTAGAAAGAACTAAAAGGCATGTGGGGGTTCCTAGATACCACCTGCTCGATTCATTGCATCCATTTGATCAACAAGATTTATTAAATTTCGATCCAAAGGATCCAAAATTGGTGGATCATGCTATATATGTTTCTGATGATACAAATAAGTTGGTCCTTTTAGAAATCTTCAGACCAGAATTTGATTCAGAAGAAGAAAGAAATAGTTTAACCATGGGTGCCATCAAAGAACGTCATATAAAAGCTTCAAAAAAATATGATACCTTGGATAAAGATGAGATACCTACTCAAATTGACTGCATTAATACAATGTTCAAAATCTTTAAGGGTCCATTGACAAGAAAAAGTAATGATGAGCCGGTTAAAACATTGAGTTCAGATAACGTTGTTCTTAATTCGCAGATGAATCCAAAGTGGTTGGTGACTAAATATGGTTTTCAAGAGCTTATAGAAACTGAAGAGGAAACTGAAGAACAACTTATTGATTATTTACCCCCAAATTTGGTGGATTTTGAAACTGATCAAGATGTAAGAAAAAGCAGAGAAGCAGTTACAAGAAAGTGTTTGGAATTAATCTGGTTAGGTAAAATTTCAATAAGTTTAATGACACCAGAACAAAAGGAATCAGCGTCTAAATCTTTGAGAACATTTAATCTACTTCAAACATCATTTTCAACATTATTCTGGTCGCAAATATTAGATGAAAATAAAAATATTGCAACAATGAAGGAAAATCCCCAAATGAATCTGGATTATCATTTAATAGATCTTTCTGCATCTTATCACTATACGGATAGGGATATCATCCAAAACTATGAACTTCAATGTAAATTAGACCCAGCTAATATTGGCATTTATTTTGACTCCCTTCATTTCATCGCTAATAACAGAGGTTCATATACCCTGATAGGCTATTGTGACAAACAGGATATTGTTGGACAAGAAGCTTTGGAACAAGCATTAAAAACATTTAGTTTAGATCCAGATACCATAGATCTCTCAGATACCAATGACGCGATATTTATGACTATTTATAAGAATGAGGTAAAGTTGCACGGGAATGATCCTACAAGATTGACGAATCTGAGAAACGCATTGAGGATTTTAGCAAAACATAAGAACTCTTCAAGACTGAAGTTTTATGTTGATTATGAGCCATATAGCTCAATTCAACGAGCATTTAATATACTTGAAGTTGATGAGTCTGTTGACGATGATATCATCCAAACTGCATATTCCATTAAAGTCAATGATACACCAGGTCTTAAGATTGATTGTGATAGAGCTTTATACACAGTTGCAGTTTCAAAAAGAAGTATGATATTGATAAATTTTCTCTTCCAGGAATGTCCCCCTTTCCAAGATTTTTATGGACCAGATCAATATACCTATAGTGAAGCATTGCAAAAACTGCAAGTGAATGAAAACGCAGCCGATGATACTATATTAGAAATATTCCAAAGAAGGTGGACATCAGATTCCGTTATAGATGCGGATGAAATTTTGAGCTTAAAATCGGTATTAACGAAAATTGCATTTGAGAGGAATTCAAAATTGATATCCAGTTATTTAGAAACAGGTGTTGTAAATCCTGGGTGTCTTCCAGCTGATAATTGGCCTGCAGGTTTAAATAATATTGGTAATACATGTTACCTAAACTCATTACTTCAGTATTATTTTTGTATTTCACCATTAAGGAACTATGTAGCTGATTATCAAAAAACACTTGAAGCTGTTGAAAACTGTCTTGAAGACGGTTGGGATAAAAGGAGAATTGGTGGAAGAGAAATCAATAAAGTAGAAGTTGAGAGATCAGTACAGTTCGTATATCAATTACGTGATTTGTTTAACGAAATGATACATTCATCATCAAGATGCGTTACTCCTACCAAGGAATTGGCATACCTAGCGTTTGCTCCTAGTAACGTAGAGGTTGAGTTTGACCAACCAAATGAATTGCAATCAGGCAATGGTGAAGATGTAGATGGAGATATAGTATTTATTGATGAAGATATCAGTGAACCTAAAGGTAAATCACTTGTTCTGGATGAAGAAAATTCTAAAGTTGAAAACTCGCCAGAAAATCAATTGATTGAAATTGATGATAGTAGTGACAGCTCCGGACATAAAAAAGTAGAAGAAATCAGTCAAAACCCATGTTTCGGAAAGTCAACTGATACATCAACTCGTGTTGCAAAGATTAGTTTTGACCAGTTGGAGAATGCACTGGAGCTGGGACGTCAACAAGATGTGACTGAATGCATTGGTAATGTGTTATTCCAATTAGAGAGTGCCTCTAATCCTATTAGTTTAGAAGAAGATGACGAGCAATATGATTTGATCAAGAAATTATTTTATGGTAAAACAAAACAAAGTATTATTCCCTTGAAGAATAATAACGAGATTCGTAACAAGATTGAACGTTTTGTTTCATTATTAGTTAATGTTAGTGATCATCCAAAGGACGTATATGATGCTTTAGATCTTTATTTCAGCGATGAATACTTAACGATGGATGAATATGGCGAAGTCAAAAAGTCACTTGCAGTAACTGAATTTCCTACAATTTTACAGATCCAAATACAGAGAGTTTATTACGATAGAGAGAGATTTATGCCATTCAAATCGATTGAACCATTACCCTTTTCTGAAACTATTTATATGGATAGGTATACTGAAACAACAGATGCAGATTTGCTTAAAAAGAAGGATGAAACATTCGAATTAAAGAAACAGCTATCTGAGATGAGAAAGAGGCAAAAAGAGTTGCTAAGTAGAAATGAATTAGGTTTGTCAAGAAAAGAAGCATTTATGGAAACTAGAAAGTTCTTAAGCTCGGATGCACTAGAAAAACAAGGAATTGAAACTGAAAATAAGCAGATGCTAATTGATAGGTTAACTGGAGCGTTGAAAGATATAGATGATGAATTGACAAAACTTTATAATGATATTGTAAATATTGAAGCTAAGATTGATAGGCAATTTGATAAGTTTCAAAACATCGGCTATTCATTATTTGCAGTTTTCATTCATAGAGGTGAAGCAAGTTATGGTCATTATTGGGTTTACATCAAAGACTTCACAAAGAATGGTATTTGGAGAAAGTACAATGATGAAACCATAACAGAAGTTCCAGAAGCAGAAGTATTTAATTTTACAGAAGGTAATACTGCTACTCCCTATTTCTTGGTATACGTGAAACAAGAAAATTTAAATGAAATTGAACCATTAAAGAGAATCGTCTAATGATAAAATACATATTCGAATGGATCTGATGATTAAGATATGATCTATTTCATAAGAACATCGATCTATAAGGTCTCCGTACGTCCTGTTCCATTAGATCTTTTTGATATCACAACTAAATTCTGTCATTGTGTACGAAGAATGATTTCATAATATGACAGCTAATAGATTATATAGTTCTCTTATATTAAGAGGTACCAGTCTTCAACTGGTTTCTATTGACAGCAATGCATTTATGTAGTTTATTGATAAGAAACAGAGATATAAAGTCAATTGTATACTAAACGTTGGTATCGGATAGGTTTTCAATAGTTTTTATAAGGTTTAACTCATCATCTTCAATGTCGCAACTGCAACGCCGTAGAGTTACTAGTGTAGGGACTAATAACGGTAACCAAGGAGTGGGTGGAGAATGTTCAAGATGAATCTGATGATTATAAGGTCGGTTATGATCCTGAGGATATGAAATTACAAGGTTTCTTCACTGAACCTAAAGTTAACGCTAATGGAAGAAGTTGTTTTACTAGGAATGAGAGATAAAGAGGGTTATTTGTCTTTTTGGAATGAAAATTTATCATTTGTATTAAGAGGTTGTATATTGATTGAACTGGCATTCAGAGGAAATATCCAAGTAATAGATGATCCATCTAGGAAACGTTTTGACTTATCAGATAGGTTAATTGAAGTGGTAAATCCAAAAAAAACCGGGGAATTTCTGTTAGATGAAACATTACAAATGATGAAATCTGAAGAATCACAATCAATATCAACATGGATAGATCTATTGAGTGGTGAAACATGGAATATCTTTAAAATAAATTTACAATTGAAACAAGTTAGGGAAAGAATTTCGAAAGGTCTTGTTGACAAAGGGATCTTGCGAACAGAGATGAAAAACTTCTTCCTTTTTGATATGGCAACACACCCTGTAGAGGATTTAAAGTGTAAGGAAATGATTAAAAAGAGAATATTATCAGTGTTGCTACCACAGACAGCAGTGATATTAGCCGATGAATACTTCCCAGAAACTGTTCAACTTAGATGTTTAAGGACAATTGCCCTAATATTATCTGCATATGCAGGAAGTGTGTTAGAAAATGTGGCAAGTGATTTAGACTATCAAAAGAAAGATGATTTATTTGTCAGGACCTCAGAAATATTAGATCAGTCTTCAGTGTATCCGTTTGAATTTGATAATAAAAGTTCGACTAATATTGCGACGAATTTAAATCAACTGGTCGAAAACGAATTGTCAAAGGACAAAAATCTGAATTTAAAACTGGAAACAATAGCCGGCGTATTTGAAGTATTTTTAAAAATGGACAGTATAGTGTGAATCTTTAGTGAGCTATAAGGGGACAAGCTAATTCAATCATCATTGGCGCTGGCCTCCTGAAATATGTATTAGATAAACTAGTTATTAAAATATGAAAATAGCTTAACTTGATATTGTTATGAATGAATTTAATTTGATGAATCTGATTACTTTGAATCTGAAAATTTTGGTGGAATTTTTTTTTATTATAAAATATTAATATTTAGTTATTTAAATATGGGCAAAAAGAACTATCGGTTAAAAAGGTTGCAATCCATATTACCTTATCTACATTTAATATATTTCATCGCGATAAAGTAATTTCATAATAAAGGTAGAAAGGAAACCCGTGTCACCTTTAGTTTTCAAGTAATATTTTAAGACTTCAATATTGGTGAACATTGTTTCATTTTTTTCAGTTACAGAACCAATTTCGTCAGTAAAAGCATTTAATAATGATTTCTCCGGATTCTTATGGTCATCACCACATGATTCCCACCAGAACCCTCCTTTTAGATTATGCTCTTTAACATATTGAGCTTTAACTTTCATTGAATCACGGTTATCGTAGCCTACAAATGTTTTTGATTTTTTATCGTAGCAGAATGCAGAAACATAGTCAGGATCGAATTCCTCTAAAGAATTCTTTATTGGTAATTGATTATAAAGCCACATACCCGGTTCTCCTTCAGATGCTCCACCGACACCACGATATGGCTTATTAATGAATCTGGTGTCTTGACTTGATGCATTTACCTTGGTGAACCCTCTACCATAGGCGGCCATACCCAAATTAATTTTTTTTGGGTTAATATGATATTTCTTGATAACATAATTGATAGCGTAGTCACCGTTTAGGTTTGACTCATCGTCTTCATCATCATCGTCGTCTTCATTATCTTCGTCTCTATCGTCATCGTCATCATCTTCATTTCTAGTTTCTTGAGGTGAATATAAGTTGCTATGGTAACCGGTTTTCTCTGACCATTCTCCATGATAATCATAAGTCATCATATTCCAAACGTCCACATAATGATCCATCTCTCTCATAAGGAGAATATCCAATTTTTCTTTAAAAGCCGGAGCAGCAATAGATAAATGGAATTTTGGTCTTTTCGAATGGTTACCATTACCACTATTATTAAATATTTTTTGTTCCAACTCGTTTTGTTTCCACTTTAATTTTTTAACCAACTCTAAATACATCTTTGGTTCTAGCTTATCATCTTTTGGGAATTCCCAATCTAATTCTATTCCATCGAACCCATAATTAAACATATTCTCAATACAAGAATTGACAAAAGCATCAAGTTTTTTAGAGTCTCTGATCATTCTTGGGAAAGCCTCTCTATTAGACCAACCACCAACAGACATGATCAACTTAAACTTTCTCGAATTATTCGAGTCAAATAATTGAGAATGTCTTAGGTAAAACAGTTCACCTATGCAACCCATTGGTAAACCATTTTTGAATTTTGGATTAAAAAAATGATCCAATTGTAATTTCTTCAACTTCATTGCCAAAGGTTTATAACAATCCATTTCAAAATCAGACCAATTATCACTAGTGGTCAGCGCACCTGTCTTAGAATCGACTACAAAAAACGCATAGTACACATGAGTCAACCTTGAGAAGTCCATATCATGAGGTAAATGTAACCTAGGAGTGTAAGGAGACCAATTAGAGTAATAAACACCTACATCATACCCACTATCAGGGTTATTCGGAAAGCTTTTACCATAAACTATTTGAGATTCATTTATACTATCTTCAATAGATTCTTCTTTTGAACCATGTTTTAAAAATTTTTGATAAAGGAAACTTTCAACCATTATACTTATAATTACAAATAATAAAGCAAGAGCTACCCACCATTTTTGATTGACCCTAATCATCTCATATAGCCTATAAATTTAAATTTACTAAGTGATTTTGCAGTTCTTTTTAACCTCTCTCCCAAAAGTTCATCTTGTTGTAATCCAGATCCTGTTTTTTTTTTTAAAAACCCAATATCAGAAGAAGACAAATTTAACACCACAAATATTAGGTAACGTTATATACTCGAATCATCAATTTTCAGCCTCGTTTGTTCAAGTTGTTAAATAATTTATAAATTCTATGTTTAAGTGTCACAGCTGCTGGAGGTTCCCATTTACTGACACCTCGGTCGTGATGACAATTCGCTGACGTCACGTGGCATTCAGAAAACCTTTATCAGATGATAGCGCCATTGACGTTCTATATATCTAAAAGAAAAAGAGACAACAATGCCAAGGTCCAAAAATTTAACAAGATTGAAAAATTTGAGTTATAACGAACAGTTTGCTTAATAGAAGTATAATTGAATAGGTAGTTGTAAGTAGCTGATCGAAAGTGGTGTTGAAGACGAGGATTGAGTGTATCAGTCTTTCTCAGCTATCGATATAATTGGGTAAACTTTGTTCTTTTGAATTGAGGGAAAAAAGTTTGGGTTTTGTTGAATAGTGAGATGTCGGAAGAATTGCAAAGTAACGTTGTGGAAGAGAAGCCTGAAGATGTAGTTGATGGTGGTGAGGAAGTGGTGGAAAGGGCTGAATCTGTTGAAGGTGCAGGCAGTGATATGGATGATTTGTTTGGTGACGATGACGATGACGAGGATGACGATGAAGGGGTTAGCAGAAGAAGGATTGATACTCAAGGTGAAGGAGAAGACGATGGAGATGAAGATGAAGATAATATTGGTAGAAGACGTCGTAATTATGTTGATGAAGATGAAGATGAAGAACAAGCTATGTATACTAGGAAATTCTACGGGGAAGATGATTATGACAAGTCAGATCAAGAAGAGGATAAACATGAGTTTAGAGAAGAAGATGTTGTGCTGACTAGACATGTTGTCCCAACCAAGATTACTTCAGAAGAAAATGATGCTGATACAACCATATATTATGCCAAAGTTCCGCCATTTTTAACGATAGACCCTATCCCATTCGATCCACCAACTTTTGAAAATGTGGTAAGAGAGAGGTTGACAAATGGGTTATCTAAAGAAGAACAATTGGAAGATAGATTAATAGACCAAAATACTATCAGATGGAGATATTCGCGTGATGATAATCAAAGAGTGTTCAAAGAATCAAATGCGACAATTGTACAATGGTCAGATGGTTCATATTCCTTGAAATTAGGTGATGAATATACAGACATCCTATTAAATGATACCGACAATACATTCCTGACAGTATCTCATGATCAACAGGAATTGATGCAATGTGTACACGGCGGTGAAATTTCCAAATCTTTACTGTTTGTTCCAATTTCTACTACTTCTAAATTACATCAAAGATTGAGTAAAGCAATAGTAAGAAGAAATGCAACTGAGACTATGGGTCCACGTTCGATGATAGTGAATATAGATCCAGAACTTGAAAAGAAGGAATTAGAAAAGAAACAAAGTCAAGTCTTTAGAGAGAGACGTAAGAAGAAGCAAAAGGAAATCGAAGCTTTGGAATCTCTGGAAACCACTGGATTTGGTAATAATAGTTATAGTGCTTCAAGGAAGCGTAGTACCACCCCTATGTCTTATGGTGGCTCGAGACGTGATGAATATGAAGAAGATGATTTTATAGTGGACGATGAAGAAGAAGAACCTGAATATGCAGGGGAAGAGGATGACGACGATTTAGACGGTTTCGAGGAAGAAGAAGAAGAACAGGAAGAAGAAGAAGAAGGGGAAGATGAAGATGCTGATGAAAAAAGAGCTGAACGATTAAGAGAGCTGAAACGACAAGGGACAGCAGCTTATAACGATGATGAGAAATCTGGCTCCGAGTCGCCTAAGAGAAGAAAAGTCGCTGTAATTGAGGACGATGAAGATGACTAGATATTTAGATCTTATATGCATATAAATATTTTTATATATTTGTATATCAAAGAACCACTTGTAATATATAACTTCACGCAAGCACTGATGAATTATCGAGTTAAAAACTCCAGTTTTGATAGATATAAGAACAGTTGCCATTAACCTAAATGCAACAATCCAGTATATATGTAGTTGTTAAATAGTTAGATGTTAGCGTTTTGATCCTTAGAAGTGAGATTGTAACTCGTATGCTATGAGGCCACCCATTTTACATCTAGATTAAATGACAGTATTTCGCACACAGGTATATTATACAGGAGAAATGAATACATCCATTAGAGGAATTTATGACAAGACTTGGGAAATTGAATGTATAAATGTAAAATACTTTCTACACTATCTTTTAGTTCACTGAGACCCTCCCTGTCCTGATGAAGTTCTCACAGATAAGGTCTTATTTTATATCACCTGATCCCATTCATCACCTGATCAATTATGTCACATGACATATCAGAATTCTGTTTAAAACGTTGGAACCGAAACGAAAACTAAAGAAATGAATTTAAACTACATTTAAAGAACAGAATCTATTCGAATAGAATAAAAAACTTTTAATTGAATTGGTTATTAATTGACTTATTCCCTTAAAAAGATAACAATACGATAATTGAAACTAATTGAATATGTCTTGGCAAGGTATGTTAAACCAATAATTTTTGAATTTTTTTGTCTTTTTTTATTGTTAATGGGATAGTTCAAACAATTTTAACTTTTGAACAATTACACATTTCAGAATAAGAATTGATCTTATAAGAGTTTACAATTACTAACAGTTTTATTTTATTTTTGATTAACCTCAATGATAATAATGTAATATTTAGCTTACACTGATAACTTATTGGCTACTGGTAAAATTGACAAAGCCGTTTTGTACTCAAGAGCAGGTGATGCTGTTTGGGCTTCATCTGGTGGATTAGCCTTGGCTGCTACCGAAATTTCTGGTATTGCTCAAGGTTTTGATGATCCTTCTCACTTACAAAGCAATGGTTTGCATATTCAAGGTCAAAAATTTATGATGTTAAGAGCTGATGATAGAAGTATTTATGGTAGACACGATGCCGAAGGTGTTGTTTGTGTCAGAACTAAACAAACTATCTTGGTTGCTCATTATCCTGCTACTGTTCAAGCTGGTGAAGCTACCAAAATCGTAGAACAATTAGCTGATTACTTGATCAGTGTCCAATACTGATTCGATTGAACAGCTATTACCCCCCTATTTTTTTTATCACTTTACCAACTTCATCATTTCTATCTATCATCGGTTTATTTAGGAAAAGTTTGTATATATCATTAACCTTTAGAAATACTTTATAATGTTATATACACTACAATAAAAATTTTCTTTTATCTAACAAGATACTTTAACCAACATAGCTTAATATTAATTTCAATCCGACTCCTTGACATCTTCTCAGTCAAAATTTGTTGTAAGATCTCAAATAATTTCAATAAAAATATAAGAAAACAGTTGTGCTAATATTAAATATTGTCCTTGACAACTTTATCGATCAATTGGTCCTTTGAAGAACTGACAATTGACATATAAAACCATCTCTTCTTGCGATGGAACATTCTTCAAATCCCTCTGGTATACAATTCTACACCAAAACTAGTTACCCTGCCTAAGATATCAAAGCATTTCCAACTAGCCAATACGAATTAAAATCGAAATAATTCACATCTGCTAAAGAGAAGAAGACTATAGAAAGAGATGAGTTAATAGAAGGTTGAATTGTTAATGATTCAAAGTTAGAAGAGGCCAAAAGGTTTTGGTTTTAAGGTTATAATACTTACTAGTTGGTGTAGGTGTTTTTTTTGTGAGTTTTTATCGTTAATTCGAGGTGCGACACACAAATATATTCTAGTTAAGGAGGAGATTCTTAACTTACGATAGAACTCTGAGAGTTATTAAATAATTGATTCATTTACAATGGAGAGATTCCATGAGGAGTTGAAGAACGAATTTGTGAAGGAGAATATTTCTAGTTCGAGGACTAAGCCTTTGTATATTAGCCAGGTTTCTGTGGAGAACGACTCCAGTGATCATCCTTTATCCTCAAGTTTTCTACAAAATGTATTGGAAAATGTAGTATCAAACCCTATACAGAACGTCGATACTGCATTAGGTTCATTTATTGACATTAAGAGGAATTTATTGTTTACTGGATTGTATAATGATGTCGATGTCACATTAGGTGCTGACAAAGGCGGGTCTTTATTGAATTTATCTCTGAAAATGGTTACTGATAAAATCGGTATTGAATCAATTGTCCCAACATCAGCAACCATAAGATTAAAGCCAAATGATTTAGTTACTAATTTACAAACTACTTTTACTACAACTTCCAATGATTGTTCCGTCAATTTCCATAAACTATGGCCTAATTTCTTGGGAATTGCTGATAGAGAAGCAATTGATTTCGGCGCCAAATACAACTTACAGTCGACTTCTTGGATCCAAAAATATTTTAAAGGTGAGTTCATCTTACCTTTCACAAAGGTACCTTCTTTGAGAACCGTATTATCGGTAGATGTGTCAGAAGATAAAGTTTCCCATTTACAAAGATTGAATTGTAATTATAAAGCAGGTATTCAAAAATTATGGTTAAAAGATGATTTGAATACGTTCCCAGTTTTTTACTCCGGTTTATCTATCGTTAATAACAAACCTATCTTTAACGGTGAAATTCCAATTGACGTCCCATCTCCAGAACAGACCCCAAGTTATCAATCTGGTTGGTTGACTACTTTTTCGAAAGATTCCACAAAATGGTTGGGCTCCTTCCCGAACTCTGGTGAGTGCTTAAACTTGAAGAACGAATATGTGCTATCGCAATTGGACTCTGATAATAAACCCATCAACACTAACATAAATAGATTTGAAGCAAATTTTGAGAAATATGTATCGATCCTAAACTCTCGTGTTATCACTACTGTTTTGATGAATGGTGGATTCCAATTCCCAATTGATGAATCTACTAGGTCTACATTTGTTGGGGAAAGTTGGGATAAACGTAACTCTTTGATTAAAGATATTATATTAAACAAGAGTGATATGAACTTCAAGTGTGGCTTTATTTCAAGTTTCAAGCTCCCTAATACCGAGTTAGATTCACCATTAAGGTTACAAATTTCTGCATTAACTGAAAATAAATTCAAAGGTCTAGCCAACTACTTTGATGGTTGTGCTGCTGATACCGGAGTTTCATTAGTATACAAAACAAAGGATACTAATATGGCACTTTCGTATAAAGTTCCGCTAATGCAAAGTTCTAATTCCCCTGCTACTTCGGGCTTCTCATTTGATATTGCTATTACATATTGTTAAGATTCTTACTTATTTTCTATATTCTATATAATAAAAAAATCTTGTTAATAACATAATGATTTCCATTGAACTAGAGACCATAAGCATAAGCATAGTTATAAGAAACATGTACTTGAACTATATCTTTAAAAACATGCCAAATGTATAAAATGGTATATAAATGTCATAAACTAATATAAAATTAGGCGAATGTGTTGAATGGGGAGAAATCTGGAGCACAAGTTCTCTTTTCACCTTTTTCCTTAGATAAGTTGGTGATCTTTTCAACATCTTCTGGGGCCAAAGTTAAGGTTTGCAAGTTAGAGATGATTCTTGACTCAGTAACAGATTTTGGTAAGACAACTACACCTCTTTGAACATCCCAACTAACAACTAAGTTAGCAGCAGGAATATTGTATTTCTTGGCCAATTCTTCAACTAACGGTTCTTTTAAGATGGCAGCACCAGTACCACCTAATGGAGAGTAAGCTTCTACAACAATACCCTTTTCTTTACAGAAGTTGACCAATTCAACTTGTGGTAACAATGGATGCAATTCGATTTGGTTTACAGCTGGAACTAATTTGTTACCTGGAGAACTCAACAATTCCTTTATGTTGTTAATAGAAAAGTTAGAGACACCGACAGCTTTACATTTACCAGTTGCTGGTAATTCTTGCATCAATTCCCAAGTCTTGACGAAGTTCCAAGTATCTAAGTCAACATCACGTTTACCATTTGGTAATCCTGGGAATGTCAAGTAATTACCACTTTCTTCACATTGGGCTGGGTTTAAAGGAATTGGCCAATGGATTAAGTATAAATCAACATAATCTAGACCCAATCTTTCCAAAGATTGTTCTAAAGCCAATTGAGGAGTTCTTTGTTGAGTACCCCATAATTTAGTAGTAACAAAGATTTCATTTCTTGGAACACCAGAATCTCTAATTGCTTTACCAACTTCACCTTCATTACAATAGATAGCAGCACCATCAATGTGTCTGTAACCGGTTTTCAAAGCAGTAAGAACAGCCTTGTAAGCATCATTCTCCAATGATTGCCAAGTACCTAAACCAACAGCTGGAAGTTCAGCACCAGTGTTCAATTTAACTCTAGTTTCACAGTTCTTCAAAGACATTTTAATTATACTATTGTTCAAAAAAGGGTTGGATATCCAGTTAGATTATAAAATTTATAATAAATAACAACCAATTAGCTATTCAATTGATACCTGTATGCAATCAATATCAAGAATAACACCTAAACTTAAATATATATCCAAAGATAATTTATAATGATCAAGTTATTAGTCCTTTATATACTTTTCGAATTCGAAACTGCCAAAGATGACGTAAAAGCTCAATATAGAGCCTAAAGCTACTAATTGGAAAAAACAAAAGTGAATGGTAAGACAAGTTAGCGTATACCAAAGCAGATGAGTACATCAAAATGACATCTATAAAACATGATTACTTATTACATTCATTAAGTTCAATTTCAATTAACACTGGCTCTGTATTCTTCTCATCATCTCCCTCCACATAGAGCTATCCAAGGTTTTGCTTAAGCTTTACTAATCAACAAGAAATTGGTGTTTATAATTGACAATTCTTTGATCTATTGCTGCTTGTAGGAAACAGCCAATTGATTAAACATTACGGTTCGGTTATTTAAGCTTGATTGATTGATTGATATTAGTTGCAACTATAGGAGGACTGTTATGCTAATGAGCTTTTAAACGGTGTTTAGACGGATTAATCCTATCTTATTACCAAGACAGCTGGAAGACAGGGGTTTTGCTTTACAGCACCAGTTGTCATTGTTTCCCTGAGAGCATTTGTTGGTTTGAATTGAACCTCAAACACTGGGACAGCTTTAAGTCCAACTCTCTTTCTCTCACTCTGTCTGCAATTTGAATAATTTGTAAAGTTCCTCGTATTCGCAATACACAATACAATATATGCAAGGAAGTATAACGTTATTCAAGAGACTCTCTGACAAGCAATATAACCAATCCAGTTGTTGGGTTGGGTTGGTTGCTACATCGAAGTGCTTGGTTAAAAACAGCGATCGAAAGTTTGTTAGGCTAATTGCCTCGGTTTGCTCTTGACCGTGATAAATAGCAGTGGTTCGTTAAACTGAGGCTGAATCTCTTCTCGTCAACTAACTGTAGCAAGTTTAACACTTAATTGTTGCTGATTAATAGCTAGTTTGGAAGGTGGGATGGATATATAGATGTTCCATCATTTTTGTAGCTTTTTCCAACTTCCTGTGGTGGGTTTCACGATGCTTGAACTGCATAACTGTTAGGTAATTTAGTTTGGTTAATTCCGAGTATCTCCTGTTAACTACGGATGGACTAAACAGGTTATTTAGCAGCTACTATAATTAATTAGTTTACAGTCAAGCTTCAATTCAAGATACGTAACGATTATATCTTGAATGGGATTACTATTATTGCCATGTCTATATTAACTGACTATTATTGTTATTATAGTAGAATGTAACCTTTGGTGAACTTTTCTTGTTTAGATTTATGAAAGGTTCTTGATATCTGGAAAACATGAGTATGGCGTCACGTATGTACTGTTGAGCTATGTTCAAAAGCTTATTCAACGGCTACCTTAGCTGGCATTGATGTGTCTAGAGTTAAGGAATGTGTATATGGATGGCACTGCATTTTCCAATCTGTCTTCTTCGTAAGATAAATATTTTATTCTTTAAGATATATATCATTATAATACAATGTTTTGGGGAGAATATAATAGTCAATGAGATTAAATTTCTTGTCTATATCTATCTATATATATATATACTTAAATGCATACGATAACGATGGGATTTATAGGCAAAAAAAATACTCACCCACATGACTTGATTTCGGTTATTCTTATTGTTTCATGAACGACAGTGGAAGACCTCAATTCCACTATTATTATATTGGTATCTTTAAATAATTGTATATTATGTTAAAATGTGTCTTGCTAAATTGTAGCAACTTTTTTTACTTTTGATCCACCATTGTACAATCTTGTTTTTATTCTTTAAATCTTGTTCAACATCATCGAAATCAACCATGTATTTTGGATGTAGAAATAATTCTTGATTGAATGCGGCTAAAATGAAATTGAAGTACATTCTGCTTACTAGCGCAACTACAGTAATCAAAATCGTGAAAGTGTATTCGTACGTTTCCGAGGCACCTTGGCCATATTCATCAACACCACTTCCATCAGACATACCAGAACCAGTTTCTGTGAACCACTGAGAACTGAATATCATCGTAAAAACACAGGTTAAAAAGGTATCAAATGAAAATACAACAAAAATCTGAGAATAAGTCAACAACGATGGGGTGTGTACTTGAAACAACCCTTGAGAGTATATTATTAAGGTAAATACTGACCATAGATAAGAAACCCATTGGAAAACATTCAAAGGATGTCCAGTGAAAAGAGCTAATATACCGTAAGCACCGCTACATTTGTTCAATATAGTAATACCTAGAACTGTCTCAACGCCGATATATAAAGGTAGAAACCCAAAAAATGATCTTGGCAAATTACTATAATGAGTTTTTACTCTAGAAAGTTCCTGATTTATATTCATTGATAGTTATCCTTCCTTATTATATTATTATCCCCTTCCAAAAACTAAATCAAAAATAAAAGCACAGCCAAAACCCAAAAACTTAGATAAATAACTAATCAATAGGATGATACCCTTCTATTAAGTCTGATTGTAACCCAAATATCTTCTTTCAGCAACAACCTTTAACAATTTCAAGTCTATTAGTTAAGACTTCATGCTCTTATTAAATATTCAATACTTTAAAGATATTTAAATATTGAAAAAAAAAAATTAATGCGATGAGATGAGGCTTCAGAGTGAAAAATTTTGATCTCATCTCAGAACTCAAATAAGACCAGTTAAGCCATTAAAAGGACGATTTATAGGTTGATTCTGGTACTTAGAGGTAGTTATAGTAGTGTATTTTCATATATTCGAAGTAATTTGAGAAGTATTTGGTGAAGGACGTCTGAGATAAGAGATTGTAGGTGAGAAGATGTCATTCGATGAAAAATTTGACAGGTTAAAGATATCTGGTAATGATGTTAATACTAGAATTTTAGAGAAATATGGTCATAAAATCAAAACCGATGAGTTGAGTTTTACTAAAGGTAAGACGAATAAGGATAAGGCCAATAGAGCCACTGTTGAGAATGTTTTGGATCCAAGAACAATGAGATTTTTAAAGGCCTTAACAAATAGAGGTGTGATTTCAGCATTCAATGGTTGTTTGAGTACTGGTAAAGAGGCTAATGTGTACCATGCCTTTGCAGGAGATGGTACCTCTTCTAGAAATACAGATGTAAAGGTCGAAGATCTGGTCAAATTGACTAGTGTTGAAGTAAACCAAGATTCAGAAGAAGATAATGGTGATAATAATAACGTTGCAGATATAGATGGATCGAAACCTGAGGGCGTTGAACTTAGAAAAGAATATGCAATCAAGATTTATAAAACCTCCATTTTAGTTTTTAAAGATCGTGAACGTTATGTTGATGGTGAATATCGTTTCAGAAATTCCAGGTCTCAACATAACCCCAGAAAAATGATTAAAATTTGGGCAGAGAAGGAATTTCGTAATTTAAGAAGAATCCATCAAAGTGGTGTCATTCCAGCTCCTAAGCCTGTTGAAGTTAAATCGAATGTTTTAGTGATGGAATTTTTAAACCGTGGTAATGGGTTTGCGTCTCCTCGTTTGAAAGACTACCCATACAAAGATAGAGATGAAATTTTTTGGTATTATCATATATTAGTTGCCTACATGAGACTTTTATACCAAGTTTGCAGATTAGTACATGCCGATCTTTCAGAATATAATACAATTGTCCATCAAGGTAAATTGTATATGATTGATGTTTCCCAAAGTGTGGAACCTGAACATCCAATGAGTTTGGATTTCTTAAGAATGGATATTAAAAATGTAAATGGTTATTTTGAAAAAATGGGTATTGATATTTTCCCTGAACGTATAATATTTCAATTTGTTATATCAGAAAAACTAGAGACCTTTAAAGGTGACTTAAATAGTGCAGATGATTTAAGAGAATTTGTTAAAAATAATTTGCCAATAAAGTCAACCGATGAAGATGAAGCAGAAGATGAAGTATTCAGATCTCTACATCTTGTTAGAAATTTGGGTGGTTTAGAAGAAAGAGATTTTGATAGGTTCACAGATGGTAAATTTGATTTATTGAAAACTTTAATTGCATCCGATAACCAAAAGAATTTTACAGCCTCAGAACAATATGGCATGGAAGATTTAGATGCTGATGACTCTAGCGAAAACGAAGACTCGAGTGCAGGTGAAGATGAGGAAGAAGAAGATGATGATGAAGATGATGATGATGATGAAGAAGAATATAGTGATTATTCAGATTCAGATGATGATTCTAAACCTAAAGGAAAGAAATATGAGGATAAGGACGACAAGAAGAAACGTAAACAGGAAACCAAAGAGGCCAAGAGGGAGAAAAGAAAGACAAAGGTTAAGAAACATATCAAAAAGAAGTTAATCAAAAAGACTAAATCCAAAAAATGATTCGAATTCGATCATATTTTAAATTTTAGATAGATTTAGTTATAAATTTATTTTGTATTCATATATAGAGGTATTGGCATCATTTAATTCAGCATAATTTCCTAAATTCATTTTAAATACACAAGAGTAAGGGCTGTTCTCGATTGATAAAATTACGGTATCATTCATAGATTACCTCGTTTCGTATTTTTATCATCTTATATATTGTCTTTCTTTTATGTCATTGCTTAATTATGGCAATATCAAAATTTAACTATTTCCGAATATCAAATTAAAGATAAAAGGAACTCATCGTCAACATTAAATAAAGACTTGTGTATAAAAAGGGTTAAAGAACTGATAATAAAGACATTTGTGGTCTGTTTATTACGATATGGGTCTGGTAGAGGGCTACGATTCTGAAAGTTCCGATGCTTCTAATTATGATGGTCATGAAGAGGTAGGTCAACTGCAACATTTACATAATGATGCTAATTCTCAAACTACAAGCAAGAATAATGATACTAGTAGAGACTCTGATAATGTAGTTATAACTGAATTAGATCACACTAAGAGGCGTTTAAAATATTCCAAGTCAGAGTTAAGATCATTTAGAAAGAAACGGAAGAGTGATAGTCCCTGGGGGAAGTGGTCAGAAAGTGAAAGTATCAATAGTGAGAGTGATTTAGAGGTTAATACAGATTTAAATGAATACCAGGATGAATCTCAGTTCAAGACTCTGGAAAAAGATGTTGCAGAAAAGTCCACTTTCCATGGGGAATCAGAAAAGGATTACAAAGGTCGTTCATTTACATATCCGCCTATTGATGTCGAATGTGACCTCCAAAAGCCAGCATTATCATTCAAGTGCTACTTGCCAAAGAAAGAGATATATGTGTATCAAGGACACCGCCATGGTACTACAAGCTTAGAATTTTTCCCCAAAACTGGGCATCTATTTGTTTCAGGCGGTAATGACAATGTAATTAGGATATGGGATTTCTATCATAAACGAGAACTATTAAGGGATTATATTGGACATTCAAAGGCCATTAAAACTACAAATTTTAATGATGATGGGAAAATGTTTATAAGCTCCTCGTTTGATAAATATGTTAAAATCTGGGATACAGAAACAGGAAAAGTAAGAAGTAAACTTAGATTGAACAGCACGCCAAATGATGTCAAATTTCGACCATTAAATCCAAATGAATATATAGTTGGTCTGTCTAATTCTCAGATAAAACATTACGACACTAGAGTGTCGGAAAAGCAAGGTTTGATTCAGGTATATGACCATCACCAGAGTAGCATTTTAAATTTAAGATACTTTCCAGATGGTACAAAATTCATCTCATCTTCTGAAGATAAATCGGTAAGAATATGGGAGAACCAAATTAACATTCCCATTAAACAAATTAGTGATACTGCACAACATTCTATGCCATTTATAAATATCCATCCACAAGGACATTATTTTTCAACACAGAGTATGGATAATACTATATATTCATTTGGGATGAAACCTAAATATAAAAGATATCCTAAAAAAACGTTTAAAGGTCATACGTCTTCTGGTTTTGGTATTGAACTTGCATTTTCTCCAGATGGGAAGTATATTTGTTCTGGTGATGCTAATAGTCGGTTATTTATTTGGGATTGGGTTACTACGAGATTGTTGAGAACATTTGAAGTTCCTGGAAAAAAACCAGTAACACAAGTAGCATGGAATCCTCAAGAAACAAGTAAAGTAATCTGTTCTGGTCAAACTGGTGAAATTTATTTGTATGACTGAAGATTTAATTAACTAGATTATAAATTTATCAGAGTTTACCTTTCCTTAGAATAGAGTTGTAACATTATTTATTGACTTACTTTTCTATTGAGTGATATATATACTTATTTATAGAAAATGAATTATGCATAGAATGATACTGATTTTGATTTTCTTGCTTGAACTTCACCAATAGCTTCCACAAAATCTTCATGCTTTACTGATGATTGACCATTTCTCAAGGCGATCATACCAGCTTCGACCGATACTGCTTTTAATTGAGCACCATTAAATTCATCAGTTGATCTTGCTAATTCTTGCCAGTTTATATCATCGTCTGTTGTCATTTTTCTCGAATGAATTTGCAAGATTTGAGCTCTTGCATCTTCAGTTGGTAGAGGGAACTCGATTTTTCTATCCAATCTACCTGATCTTAACAAAGCTGGATCCAAAACATCTACTCTGTTTGTAGCAGCAAGAACTTTCACTCTATCATCAGAACCGAACCCATCCAATTGATTTAATAGTTCCAACATAGTTCTTTGAACTTCTCTGTCACCTGATTTTTCTGAATCAAAACGTTTTGTACCAATAGCATCTAATTCATCGATGAAAATAATAGTTGGGGCTTTTTCCTTTGCAAGAGCAAACGCATCACGTACCAATTTGGCACCTTCACCAATAAACATTTGGACTAATTGTGGAGCGGCTAATTTCAAGAATGTGGCATTAGTTTGAGCAGCACAAGCACGCGCTAATAAGGTTTTACCAGTACCTGGTGGACCATACATAAGCGCACCCTTTGGAGCTTTAATACCCATATCTTTAAATTTATCTGCCCTTTTCATTGGTAATACAATTGCTTCCACTAATTCTTCGATTTGTTTATCTAGACCACCAACATCGGAATATGTTTCAGTTGGTTTTTCATCGACTTCCATAGCCTTCACACGGGAATCAAATTCAGAAGGTAAAGTATCTAAAATTAAATAAGAGTCCTTATTGACACCCACTAAATCATTTGGTTTTAATTTATCTGGATCGACCAAACCAACCATTGGTAGAAACACAGTTTGTCTTGAAGATGTTTTGACTACAGCTGCTTTACCCTTTGCAGTATTGTCTAAATTGACATTACCACCTTGTATAGTCGATTCACTATTATCTTTATCACCAATTTCATCCATATCCATTACTTCAACGACATTAGCCACTAAATAGGGAAGCTGTCTATTATTCTTAATTTTTTCTTTGTTATCCTTAATTTTTTCTTGCATGACATTACTCTCATGGGACAATCTTTGCAATTCTGATCTAAATATTCTTATTTCATTGTCCAGCAATTTTGTTCTTGTTTGTAATTCTTGTGCTGATAAATTTAAAATATCTTGATCTAATTCTTCATCGCCTGGTAAAACTTGGGCATCTAATTCTTCTAAAGTAGCCATCTTGATCAGCACACAATTCTTCTGATAAGATATGAATAATATATGGTTAAAAATGTATCTAACAGACCTCTGTAAATGAATTCAATATAATTTGAATTTTGTATAAACCTTGAAAAAAAAATATATATATATATATAAAATTATATTCAAAAATTCACAAAATCTATAGATTCAACCATGCAATTCCTCAGACGGTATACTAATTTCGATATATACCTTTGGCACACTTTGAAATCAGCGTTTGTTGATCTTATCAGCTACTTCTAGAACCAATATATACTTATAAGTGTTCTAATAAGGCTTTACTTCTATATCTTTAATTTTAATTAAGTTAATTAAAATTAAAGATATATTCGCCACCCAATAGGTTACCCTGTTATGTACATGTGATCTGTTCCGGGTAACATTATTATTATTTATTAATATAGGCAAGTTGATCCTTCCATAGTTAAGAACTATATAGGTTAATTAAACGTCAGTAATGGATTTATATTCCCATATTAAAGCTCATTCATTATGTTAACAAGATCCTATAATCAGGGTCTTGTCGGTTATGTAAAATTGGATGACAGTAACATATCCTGTTCTAAACTAATATATATAAGTATATTTATGATTTTATGCTTGTTGTAGTTCTCTTTGCTTTTCTAATTCTTTTTTTAGCTCCATTGTGAAGTTGTCTTCTACCTCTACATCATCCCAATCTTCTTCCCAAAGGCTATTCTGCACGTTAGTGGCTTCTTTTATAGTTTCAGTGTCTGGCCATGTATCCACTGGGAAATCTTCAAATTCATCATCTTCTTCTAAAGTTCTCTTAGTGATATCTTTGGCAACTACATTGCCAGTGTTAGAACTAGCATCGGTAATATTAGTGGTACTCATCGTGGTCTATATTACTTGCTTAGATACCTTTCATATGCTAATACAATTCCATTTAAACTTGTTATGCTCTTCAATATGTTAATTAACCTGATTGATATTTTTTTAAATATGGCCTTTCTAGAATTAGGAAATAATATTTGCCACATGCAAGACGAATTGTGATCACGTGATACTGTGGTAATGCTGTATCATAATAGACGGTTTGGATCACGTGATATATCTATATACCTATATATAGTGGTAATAGGTGTCCTTATCTTGCATTTCTTACTTCTCTGATCCGTCAATATTAATGGATTAATATGGGATTGTCAGATATCAATCAGTTCATAAGATCACTCTATATATAAATATTAATATTTTCATCTAGTAAGGACTGAATTTTCTACTAATCTGGGTACTTACTCTGAACTAGAACTACAATAGCTATATCAAGGCATAATTTATGACAGCTAAAAACTGCTGACAGGGACAGTTAATTAAATTACTGGAGAAAGGTTATAGATTTACTTACTATTATACGCAGATAGTGTATTATGATTAGTTACTTAAAGATTTACTCTGTTTATTGTTATGTATGTATACGATAATTCTTTTCCCACCAAATTTTGAGAATAGATCGTGTTACTTTGTTAAGGGAACTATATATAAATATTCTGTTGTTACCAAAAATGTTGATAAGTGAATAGGCAGTGCCTTCAATTAGGCGTAATGCGTGTAGTTAATTGGGTATTTATGATGACGGACTATGTATTGAATATAATATGGTCAATTATATCTACTTCTATTCATTAAATCAAAAAAAAAAATAAGGGAATAGAAAATTCGGTATGATATTAATAATTTACCACTGATAACCCTCTGTTGGAAAGAACACTTGAAACAATTTCTACAGTTATAGAAGTATAAAATAAAGTCAAGGAAATAGCAATATACAGTTATTCAATTCCAATCCCCTTTATCTCATATTTTGAGAACTGTTTCATAAGAAAAAAAATATCAATAACATACCTGACCAAATTTAAGTACAGGGGCTCATAAATTCAGACATCCTTTAATTAATCAATGAGAATCTATCTATATTTAATAGAGATTTAAATGTATTATTTGGCCTTTATTATTATTTAGTTGTATATTGAATTTGGTATACGTTAGAATGAAGGCTGGTAGGCGTTTATTCTATAGGATCTTAAGGGTGGAGATCTGTAGGTTAAAGTAAATATACTAGTTAATAATAATAAAGTTCTATATTCTTTTATGTACAAAGTAAGATACTAAATAATATACAATAATGTACAATGATCTCTTTAAATAGCAATGTTAATAGCATGTAACAACATTCTTGTAGTGACACATATTTCTTCACCTTCAAGGTTCGTATGAAGTAACCTCGAAATAGTCTCGAAATAATACATAAAATTTGCATCACGTGTATTTGGTTAACCATAATATTCCATAATATTCATCTTCATTTCCAAGAATTTCAACAAATAAAGCGGTTGTTTGGCCGAGCGGTCTAAGGCGCCTGATTCAAGTATTAAATTACTTAACTACTAAGTAGGAATACTCAGGTATCGTAAGATGCAAGAGTTCGAATCTCTTAGCAACCATTATTTTTTCTATCTTCTTTTAGAGAAGACATAACTAATAGAAGTCTCTCCATTTATATTTTTAATGAATGAATATTTGATTGATTAACAGGGCAAGTCAATTCACTAATTAACCAAGACTTCAGTTCCATTCTCTCATGGATAATCTACGTTCAAATCATTAGAAATGATCATTGCAAAAAAATAATACATATATATATGCGTGTGTGTTTTATGTACTTGTTATTTTTTAGATATTAAAATATTCGTTATTAATTCGTTACTGCCATTATATTTTTAAGTTTTCATGCATTTTTATATTTATATTTTAGACTTCTTAAATGACTTAATTCAGTATCCATCGATTTTGCCATTTTTTTAACAGCAATGGAAATTAGATATAATAAATGAGGTAAATGGAAAAACACTTCTAAAGAGAACTGATCATGCAAATGTAAGAAACAAATCCACGAGATTGAAATTAAGACAATCATATTTATAATATTCAATTTAAAATTATCGATTCTTAACGTAATTAATTTTGTAATCGAATAATCATTAATTAGATCATATCTTATATTGATACAAGAAAAGATCATACTTTGTGAACCTAATATAAATAGAATTGAATAGATACCTTTCCTTCTTGTGGAGAACAATAAAAAAGTTGTGCAACTTACTAAATATGCTAGGCACAATAAATTTATATATTTCAGTTTTCTAACCTCGTTACTCAATTCAAATTTTTGTATTAACACTTCTTGATCGTCGGTATCCATAGGTTCGAAAGTAAACTCACCATCATCATCATCATCAACATTACTATCTTCCAGCACTCTTCTATTAAATCTACGTAATCTAGACATATTTAGTGATAAAAGTTGTAAACAACAATAAGAGCAATAACAACCCTCAAATATTAACTTTGACTGCTGTGCTCAATATGCCTGTAATCCCAGATAATAATTCGGCCCTAAACGTAACCAATCCAGCCTATCCAGAGCTATCGAACACTACCAAACCGACAACAACGTTGATAATAGTAATAACAATACTAACAGTAATAACAAACATATATATAAAAATACAGAATCGAATTATCAAGCAGACGAGAGAAAAATAACGAGAGGAACACATACGAGCTTTAATGAAAAAAATAACCTGACGTAACGTAAAGTTAACGTAATACAAACGTAATTGAGTTCAGTAGAAAAATAAAAATGGTGCTGAATACAAGAGTTAGCTTAGTTTAGTTCAATCCAGTTCAGTTCAGTTCAGTTCAGTTCAGTTCAGTTCAGTTGATGTGGGATATATCTTCTTCAAGGAAACCTGACCCTGTAAGCTTTGATGAATAATATAACTGGAATTCCGATACGATTTCGGATTCGATTCGAAGGCACCACCTCAAAACCTCTATAACTTTTTGTTTACTCTTCAAGGATAAAGTGTATGTAGTTCTATTTTATTTTGTTTTATTTTATTTCTTATTTGCAAATGCAACAAACAATATTTTAACAAGAACTTCTTGTGTGTAGTCCCCCCATCTCATTGCAGTTGTTGCTGCTACTGGTGGGACTCCTACATAAGATATATAATATTTAGAATTAACCTTTATAGTTAGTTGATGCTTGCAGGAGAAACGATCTTTTTAGCTTGCTTGCATGGAGTGTTCGTAGTTGGGTTGTTCTTCTAGTAATGTAATGTAATGTGATGTGATCGCAATTGTAGTTTAGAATCGTGGTTTGTTGTCATTTGCTTGAGCCCCTGGGATTTAATTTTTTTTTTTTTATTTATCGAAATATGTTCAGTATTGATTAATAAGGAAATTTTTATTTTATTTTTTTACTGAATTCATTGTAGTCTTGTCATCAACATTTCACATAAAGTGTCTAACATTGGCAATGAGCAAGAATAGAATAGAATAAATGGAAATTGTTTAGAAATTTGATATTGATAAATAATTGGACTTTTTCCTGTTGTTTAAGGTTTTATCGAATTGAGTAAAAAAACTATATTCTTATTTTATGTGGTTAAGTGGTTTGCTTTGTAATTGCCAAAAATGGAACCATTTCTGAAGGGTTAATTTATTACGTTCAATTCAATAACTAGATAATTAATTATTAATAAAGTATATTCGAGAAGTTAAAAAAAATTCTTTGTTTTCTTGTTTGCTTTCCTGTTTCCTACTCTCCTATTTCCTTTCTTGTTTCTTTATCTGTCCGATTTATCTTCTCCCTCATTAAAACAAAGCTATATATGTCTGTCTCCCTTCCCTTTCCTTTATGTACATTTTG